AAAGACAACATGGCTGACTCCATCTTCCACTATTATCAAGTGAGTGTGCTCTGAATCAGGAGCAGACAGGTTCAAACCCCCTCACATGCAGACGTGTAGTTTCTAAACAGCGTCTGTCTTCTTGGTTACAGGAGCTGCCGAAGTACCTGAGGGGCTACCACAAGTGTTCAAGGGACGAGGTCCACCAGCTGGGGGCGCTAATCTACAGGGTGAAGTTTGAGGAGGATAAATCTCAGTTCCACAATATGGCCAAGATCCTGAAGGAGCTCGTCCCTCAGGACCAGATCAGACATCTCTCCGCCGACGACTGGAAGAGGGTGAGCTCACACACGTCAGGGCAGCAAATAAAGAAAAAAACAATCAAGGAGTCATGGTTGAACGAGCAGGAGGGACAGCACTCACACACACATATAGAAAATCTACATGAAGTTTCTGAAAGTATTCAGGGGCGGCAGCAGCTCAGTCTGTAGGGGACTCGGGTTGGGAACCAGAGGGGCGCGAGTTCAAGTCCTGGGGCGGACCAAAATATAAGAGTTTGTCTGGTTACTGGAGAGATGCCGGCGCACTTCCTGAGCATTGCCAATGTGCTCTTGAGCAAGTAGCAGCGCTCCCTTCATGTCCACCATGTCCTGTTTGTGCATGTGTGTATTTCAGGCCAATGTGTGTGAGAAGCATGTCTCTGAATTACAGCGTTGTAGAGAGACTTGATGAATATTAAACACATTTTAAATTTAAAGATTTCAATAAAAATTTGACCCTTTTTGTCTCCTGTTTGTCTCTTTCAGTCCATCATGCTGCTCTTCAACAAGCACTCAGGAAAATCTCGTGAAGAAGCCAAACTGGCCTTCCTCAAAATCATCTACAAGTGGCCCACGTTTGGTTCTGCCTTCTTTGAAATCAAGGTAACCACACAGGAGTGAAAAGTCAAATATCCACTCTGAGTATAACGTCTCGGGTAAAGTCCATTTTGAAAACAAAAAAAAAAAGTAAAAATTGTTTGTTCTTTTTTTTTTTTCTTTCTGCAGCAATCAACGGATCCAAATTACCCAGAAACCCTCTTGATAGCGATCAACAAACATGGAGTCAGTTTGATTGATCCCAAATCTAAAGTGAGTTCACAGTTTTTTAACGTTATGTTGGTGTGTGTGTGTGTGTGTGTGTGTGTGTGTGTGTGTGTGTGTGTGTGTGTGTGTGTGTGTGTGTGTGTGTGTGTGTGTGTGTGTGTGTGTGTGTGTGTGTGTGTGTGTGTGTGTCTCGAGTACCTTCTTTCTCACCTCACTCGTTGTGTTTCCTGCAGGACATCCTCACCACTCACCCCTTCACAAAGATCTCCAACTGGAGCAGCGGGAACACGTACTTCCACATCACCATTGGAAACCTGGTCCGAGGCAGCAAGCTGCTGTGTGAGACCTCGCTGGTGAGACTCTTCAACATGCAGCGACAGCTTAGACGCACGACCCCGATCACAACAACAACAAAACACATTGCAGCATTTCTGTTTGAAAGGAAAAGTTTGAGATTTGAAATATGCTGCTCATAAATTTGAATCAGCGGGCTGCATGTTGGTGCAGTGGTTAGCCCTGTTGGGGTTCCTGGTTCAAACCCTGGTTGGACAGGAGTGTGTGGAGTTTCTGTAACCATTGAGTGCAACCACCAGGAAACATTACACTGTTACCCTTTATTTAAAGACTTTATATGTGATTTTTTGATCCAGCAGATGTCGCCCTTGAGCACCAGCATGAAACCAAAACAACTCACGCTGCATTGTTGTGTTAGCATGCTAATGCTAGCGATCTTTATTCTTCTGGTATCTTCACACTGCATGTAAATTTACCTGAAATGAGCGTGATCTAGAAACACAGTTAAGCAGTGAGTACAGTATGTTATTCTTCTTTTCTCTAGTCCCTCAATTAAACTTTTATACATGAGGGGAGGAGTCAGCCGGCCGTCCTGGCGATGTAAACAAAGTGAAGATAGGACTCTGAAAACTCTGAAAACATCACAGACAGTGGGACTCGGGTGTTACACCCATTGTAGACAGTCATGACTCACAGAGTTATTTTCAGAGGAGATACTTGATTTCTACATTTAAGTGTGAAAAATCACAAAGAAAGACTTTAAATAAAAATCTAAATCTAAATCTAAGTAGGGACTTGGGACTTGCGAGCCAGAGGGTCGCTGGTAGCTGGAGAGGTTCCCTTGAGCAAGGCACTGAACCCCCACCCATCAGCTCAGGAGCGCTCGCTGTGGTCAGACCCCTCGCTCTGACAGCTCTACATTAGTGCACGTCCACAGGATCCTGTTTGTGCATGTGTGTGTGTGTGTGTGTGTGTGTGTGTGTGTGTGTGTGTGTGTGTGTGTGTGTGTGTGTGTGTGTGGAGCATGTTCAACAACAGAGTATAATTGAATTTCTCCTTGCCGATAATTAATCTTCTTCATCTTAAAATGCATTATAAATCAATAAGACATTCACTAAGGGATGTCTGATGTGTTTGTTTTTACCCCTCAGGGCTACAAAATGGACGACCTCCTGACCTCTTACATCAGCCAGATGCTGACGACCATGACCAAACAGAGGTCGTCCCGAGGCAACAGCAAGTGAGCGGAGCGACTGGAAACTCATCGATCACGGCCAATCAATCAAAAACCTTTCATTGAGTCCGACACGCACACAGTGCAGAGTGAAAACATGGGAACTGTTTTTTTAAAATGATCCCACCAGAGGTCGTGGAGGCGTTTTCTGTGACGCTGTGACATCGCTACGTTTGCATTCACGTTCATATTTATTGGCTCTGTCTTAAAAAAACTCACCTAATTTGCCTTGAAATTCTCTTTTCCAACCAAACGGCAATTTGGATATATTTGTATGACTGTTTGAATCTGTGTTAGAGGCTAGTCAGGGAGCTTTATCCGTTTATGAACGGGGCCGGTTGAGTGTTGTTAAACAAGCTTTCAGTGTAAATATTTTTAGACAGAATTGAACGCTAAAGTGACCCGTTTCACGCCTGGTGTCAAAGTGTGTTGAGGTGATTTGAGTACAACGAGACAGACGACAAGCACAGTCACACATAGACAATCACCTCTGTTAAAAACCTTAAATTATCCCATCCTCATATTTATTTGTCAGTGAAGTGGAGCTCCATTGACTGACTTAAAAAGGCGGCTTATTCCTATAAGCTGCAGTAAGGCTGAACTCATGAGGTTGACCTGTGCATGTAAAAGTTGTGCAGAAGACAAACGGGCTCCGTGCGCTGATTGTATGCAGGTCAAAATGTTGCTCTCAAATAAAGCGACACCTGCGAGCTAGTTCAGCTAGACAACTCGGGCGTCATTATCCACAATCACCTGACAAACACATCCTTCAAATTGGCGGTCGATTTCAGCTGCAACATCTCCCTCTGTTCTCTTACTGCCCCCTCTGACCTGCAGCCACACCACCATGACATCATCCACCTGCAGGCTCCGATTAGAGGGTTTAAAATATTAAAGCATCACTCCTCAAATTTCTGCGCGTAAAATAAATCTGCACGGAGTGATGAGGTCACTGACGCCAAACACAGACAACATACATGTTCTGCTGCTGCAATAAAAAACACATAGTACAAACGTGCATGGTTAGTAATGCAATATATCTGGGGGTGCTAGTTTAGCTCAGACAGTAGAGCGGGCGCCCAAGTCTTTGACCCCCTGGCCTCGGCCCTCTGATGCATGTTACTCTACCCTGCTCTCTCCTCCCAACATTTCCTGTTTCTCCTCAGCAGTCTTTACAGGAAAAGGATGAAAGGCCAAAACAGCTTTGAAAGAAAAAAAAACAAAGTGCATTAATGGGATATTAACATTTAGAAACAAAGAAATGTGTGAATGTGAGCAGAGAGAAAACCAGAAATCAAAACAAACATGTGCTGCAACAATTAATGTTTCTAGTCTTCTGACTTCTCACTTTTACATCAGTATTAACTCATCCATTCATCCACACAGAGCAGCAGGAGAAACTTGGGGTTAAGTGTCTTGCTCAAAGACACATCAGACATGTGGCTGCAGATGCTGGGGATCAAACCCCCGACCTTCTGGTTGGCCACAGTCGCCCCGACATTCTCTCTCTCTCTTTTTTTAAATTTCATCCCTGAGAAGAAAAGTTCAGCAGTCCATCAAAAACATTTCAAACTCCCCGACCCGGACGTGTTCCTTTGTGTTCGTCTTGTGCGTAGCTTCATTTTACAAACTTATTTATTCTAATAGTTTCAGGTTTAACAGACTTCATCACACTTCTATTTTTAAATGTGTTTTAGATCACGTCTCTTAAAGAAAAAAAAAAAAAACTCCCCGTGCTGTGAACTGTTGCAGATTTAAACGTATTTAAATGAAACCTGGTGATTTTTTTTTTTTTATGGCGTCGTTGGTCGTGCATGTGTGCGAGGAAACGGACTGAACGTGTGCCACAGAGTTCAAACATCACGTCTTTGTATGTGTCGATCCGTCGTAGATTAAAGAACAACGTAAACACAGTCCTTAGACGTAGACGGATTCTGTGCTCACTTGTGTATTTTTTTTTTCTTTTCTAAATGTATAAACCGTTAGTGTTGATTTTTAAAGCATCGAGTCTGAATCAGTTTTCTGTTTATATGAAGGAGGAAAGCTGTCATCCATGTTGTGACCACATTTACAAATGTAGACATGAATAAATGACATTTTGCAAAAAGGAACGGAGAGGTTTATTTCTCTAAGACAGGCACCGCTCTACGGTGGTTTTAGATTTTATTAAGAAAGAAGCAAGAAGACGATGCTGAGCTTTCAAACATCAGCATGAGCGAGTGTTTGAAAATCTACTTTGAAATAATTCACCTAAAAAAAAAAAATGTGTTTCTGAAATTTAAAGTGAGATATAAACGCGGTAATGAGATTCTTCTCACTCTGCAGAACAGAAAACAACCACCATTTCTAACTTTCTGTTCTCAACCCTGACGATGGTGTGATGAAAGCAGCGACTCGCTCGGAGAAGAATTGTTTGCATCACTTTAATTAAAACAAAGTGCACTTGACAAAGTACTCTGCTGAGATCTTACAGGTTTGGCAGTTTCAGGCTCTGTGTGTTTTCAGCTCGGCAGACGTCAGTGCTCGGACACGGTCGCCAGGTTGGGCGTCCTCTCTGCCTGAGAGTGAGTGCTGGAAACCGACCAGATATCGCTCAACTCTGTGAAAGGAGACAGAAAAAAAATGCAGTTTTCAGTCTAATAATTAAACTTTTCACATGTGCACAAAAACTCAAATTTCCCCAGATTTTCAGGGTGAGCTGCAGAAGCTGAATTCTTAACCCCGACTACATCTTTACTTTTTGAAACCAGACCCCTAATTACATTTCTGCAAGTCAGGGTGAGCCGATGTGTGAACCCAGCAGGAAATATTCAGCGTGAGCATGAGGGAGGGGGTGATTATCTGAGTATTTTTAGGTTAAAATAACTATATTTTATCTTCCTGTTAAACTTCACAAATGTCTGATTACTCATCCTGCACTCAGGGGCGTTTAAACAAATTTCAATGAATTAAAAAGCTCTGTTGAAGGTAACAGTCCAATCAAATTCATCCCAACGCTATGTCCCGCCTTCTGTCATGTGATTGGTTAACACTAAAAAACAATACATGTTTTCTCAATGATCAACATCTTTCATTCTGCCCTTCAGTTCATCTTTTCACAATATCTCACCCGTTTTGAATTTGCTGTACGTCCCGTTGTCCGGTGTGATTTTGCCGCCCGTGCAGAACGCCAGACCTCGCTCTCTCCACCTGACGAGCAAACGACACGTGACCCGTTTAGCCCACCTTCCACAGAATTCAGACATGAAGACACTCCTTCATATTAAAACGATGTGTGAGCGATTTACCAGTGAAAGAAGAAGATGACGAGGATCAACACGAGGGACGCCACATCAGTGAGAATCCACATCAGGTTATACTCATCTGGACTCTGAGAGAGGGACAGAGGGTTAAACAAAGAGATTGATTCAATGAAGGAGGTGTGTATGAAGGCAGAATTAGCAGATTAACAAGGAAACAGCGAAACTTTTGGTAAATATTATATGGAAAAAAGTGGATAAACGACACCACAGGACGGGGGAAGAGAGGGATTTGGAGTGACTATAATGAATTCATTAATATTTTAATACATCTAGACTCCATGGACTGTAAGTGTATGATTTATTGAACAGCAGCATTTACATTAACAAAGCTATTAGACATTTAAGGCCACACTCATGACCTTTGACTTCTAGAAAAGGAGATTTAAAAAAAAAAGTAAAATCTTGTCGAGTAGTTTAGCTGTTACCATGACGAGCAGTGGTGACCTCATGGATGTGAGGATCTGAGGAGCGTTGGTGGTGACAGACTGGACTCCAGAGCACCAGGCCAGAGAGAAGAGCCACGGCTGACTGATCACATACAGGTTGGTGCTGATGTTCACTGCAGCGTACTCTCTGCACACACACACACACACACAGTGTTACAGCTTTACACGTTTAACACATGAACTCACACACACACACACACTCACACACACTCAGTGGTACCTGACGAGCTGAGCAGACATGGCGCTGTAGTGCAGATTGAGTTTCATGATGTTGTTACTCTGCAGCTCCTCTAGAGGGAGCCGGCTGCCAGACGTCTGCTGGAGCTCAGGATCCATCTCCTGGACCAGAGCGCGCAGGTCTGAGGGCAGCCACAGCACCTGGTGGACGAGGGGAGGGACGGAGGATAAGGAGTCTGAGCTTATGGATCGTTTCACTGCAACGCTGCTTTGATTTAATGAAATGATAATCATCTGGATTTATCTTTATTAACTCTTGTTACTAAATGTTTCACACACATTTGAAACATGTAAGCCAACAAGACATGCAATCAAGAAAACAAAGCAAAGAAAAAAAAAAGTGAAATCAAGATAATAAATGAAGATAAATTCTGGTAAATTGAAGTATATTTCAAGAGGAGATTTGAAGGCAGGGTTGGTCATTTTCAAAAACTAGCATGAGTTTAAAAGTAGCATTCCGTCAGTGCTCCGTCTGCACCTCCTCCCCTCTGTGCTCCCTCTTAAGCCACGCCCCCTCACTTACATGCACGAGCGCTGTTGCTCCAGAAGTGGACCTCAGCTCATCTCTGTCATTGTGTAGAAACTACGTCGTCTCATGTCTCATTCAGCGGTCAGTAAACTCTCAGTATAAACTCCTAAAGTCATCGGTGACGAGCTTTGAGTGTAGAGAGCGAGCAGGGAGACAGGGAGGCATCTGATTGGTTCATCAGATTGGTACCTCGTGGCAGACATTGGTTGAAGTTTTTACAGACTTACAAACTGATACAGATGATGGATTTTCTTTGTTCCTTTTTTAGAGAACATGAGTTATTAATGTCTGTCAGGACCTAAAAACAATTTACACCAGAATCTTTAAAAAGTGGATCTGGAGGAAATCACCAACCCTGACTTTAAGAGTGATCACTTTGCGTAATGTAGCCGAGTGAACTTATTCAAATCTACTGAAATAATAATTGGCTGTATTTGTATTTGTGCCATAATTAGATTATGTGTGAATTCAAAATGTCAAAAACTTTTAGAACTATGAGTTGAGCAAATTATTAGTTTAACAAAAAAGATCTGAGATTATATTGTCCGTCATTGCTGAGCTGTAATGAGGGTTTTTAGCCACTTGGGGGCAGCAGAAACACAAAATGATTCCCTCTTCTTGTGTCGTTGCATGAAACACACCTGAGACTGTGACTCCTCCTCCTACCTGCCGCCTCACACTGTCACCCTCACCTGCGAGGAGAGGATGGACGACTCGTTCTGGATGACCTCCAGCGTCCGTTGGATCCAGGTGTCTCTGTACGGGTGACCTCTGGGAGGACGGTAGAGGTCGAAGATCACCAGCTTGTCTTTCCGCGCGGCCAGCTGGAGGAAGTCGCGCAGGCTGCAGACGGGCTGCTTCTCCGCACGCAGTCTGTCGTCTGCTCCCAGAGAGCCGACTGTACCGAACGGATCGTGCTGGGGAAGAGACGGGGGATCAATAATCAATGCTGTGGTGTGACACGCAGGGCAACATGTTCCTCCTCTGCCAGCTGATTTTATAGAGCAGCTGATGTAGTGAAGAAGAGTCATCAAAAAACTACTACTACTTTATGACTTTAAACTTTTCTAAATTAATTCCTGTTTTTCTAAGAACATTTTGAAACAAATATTGAGATTCTGTAGCGTCTGAAATGTGATTTTATTGGGCCAAAAAGTAAACTTTATAGTCCACTGTAGAGACCTCCCTTTGTAGGGAGTAGAGGATGATGTGGTCTTGAAAAAGAAGCTGAGTCAAGACTGAGAAAAACCAAACATTTAAAACCAGCACAGTGTCTTCTCTTGTGTTCTGTGTGCGACTCACAGAGAGGAACCAGGCGCCGGCGTTCAGGCTCTCCAGTTCAGACCAGGTGAACATGGCGGCCGGCTGGTCAGTCCGGTTTGGAAAGACCTCGTGGATGTTGGTGGTTCTTTTCAGAGTCTGATCGTGCATCAGGAAGGGGACCCCGTCAAAGCTACCAAAAAAAAAAAAAAAAACACGACATGAGAGCTGTGATTAAGAGTCAGGTCAAACATTTTAATGAAATCTAAAAAGTGAAATATTTATCATAAATCAAATGTTAAGGCAGAAGTCAGAGGATCCCTACATCCCTCATGAGTCAATGAACTTTAACAGGTTTCAAGTGGCTCCAACTTCCACTTGATTAAACACTAAAAACCTGCAAACTCCTGACATGAGCAGCTAAACTCAGTAGCTGTGGCTTTAGATCAGCAAGTGGCCAGACTGAAGAAAAACAGAATACCTGCTCTAAATGATCACAATTACATTATAATAGATCAGAAAACTTATTGATCCCCAGCAGGGAAACTCATTTGTCACCTGGTCAGTTCATACACACAACAAACAATATCGACAAGTACATCACAGTACACAACAAGTAAATAAATAACAAACACCACTGAAACCATTTGAATAATCATGTACAGCCACGAGTCAGAAACACAAAGGACCTCCTGAGCCATTCAGAGGAACATTGAGGCATCACTAGTCGCTCACTGAAGGAGCTTCAAAATCTGTTAAAAAGAACCATGTAAAGGATGTCAAAGATCAAAACAGTTTTAAGTTTGGTCCTCATTCTCTTATGAACAGTGATCTGAGTGAGAATTACAACGGACACGTTCACAAGCTCACACATTTTTAACTTTCATTAAGAAAATTCTGATATTTAGAGTCTGTGGTTCTGTCACGCTCCATGTGCAGAGGCTGTGGACCTTGAAGCGGACTCTCTCATCGCCCGCTCTGACCTGCATCAGTTCAGCTCTCTTACTTTCAGCCCCACCGCCACATTATCCACCTGCAGGCTCCGACTAGAGGGTTAAAGATACCCTATCATCACTCCGTGTGAAATAATCTGTGAGGAGTGATGAGGTCATAGTCTAGACGTTAAACTCAAACTATGTTCTGCTTCTGTGATAAATATTAAACATGAGTCGTCTGACTGAACTTAGTAGGAATATTATTCTGTTGTTGTTTCTTTCCTCCAGTTTTCTCCTCCTCTACCTGCACGTTGTCAATCAGTAACAATAAACACATCAGGCAGAGAACAACACTCAAATGAAATATTAACTGACCTGATGGTGACGTCCGTCTCCAGACCTTCACTTCCTGCCTCCACAGCTTTCTCAAACGACATCAGTGTGTTTTCTGGAGCGAGCTGCACATCACACACACACACATGTTTCATATAATAATATAAGAATCAGTTACACTTTGTTGATGCTGAGGGGACGTAAGGTCATGTTATAGTCACTCGTTACAGACAGATATAACAAACTAAGTTACATGTTACACTTCTTTATAATAGAATAGAATGACTTTATTGATCCCAAACTGGGAAATTGTGGCGTTACAGCAGCAGGTTGTCCAAAAACACAATGTTAGCAAATCTAAACACAATATAATATTAAATACAAAGTAAATAAGCACTAAAAATATCAAAACTAAGAATGAGAATATATACAACCAGGATTTAACTTAGCATTACTAGTCTTAAATATGAAAATATTAAATACAACATACTTTGCTGTAGACAAATGTAAATGTGCAAAAACAGAGTTGTAAATGGAAAAAAGTAGAGAATAAAAAGGTTAAACTATGTGCAGTACATTTACATGCAGTAACTTGCTGTAGTCTGAGTTCAGAAGTGTAAACATGTGGAGAGTTTTTCTGAGCTGAAAGAGGAACATTGTCTCTAAATATCTGGGACAGGAAGGATGTGAGCAGCAACACCACTCAGCATACAAGAACATGTTAAATACTAAACTGCTTGTGTTAGAGAGGGAATCAGGGGACGAGTGCAGCGTCAATCCTTCAGTAAGACAGTCAGACTGAAGACTTCATGGTAAAGTTTGAAAATGACAGGCCAAGCAATAGTGGACCAGCTGACCTGCGTTTGGTAACGGGCTCTTTTTTTTACCTTTTCACACTAACTCCTCCCACACACGTGTGCCTGTAACCGCTTCAGAGACCACTCCACTCCACAAACCCGAGGTAAGCTGGTCCACTACAGCACACCTTGCATTACCCCAACATCACCCGACACACAGTGAGCATGCCGGTTCGATAACAGTGTCTCGTTAAGCTAACTCTCCTGCTCACCATGGGTGCTCCTCTGTGGCCGAGGAGGGCGGGTGCAGGTCCCAGAGTCCCGTCCTCTTTGATACAAGGAGAATACAGACCGAGGGGCACCAGGTAGAGAGCGGACAGGATGCTCAGGTAGAAACCCAAGATCAGACCCTGCCTCACTGGAAGAGACACACACACACACACACACAAACACACACACACACACACATTGAAGAAACACATACAGACATTTTTTTATTGGATGAAAAGAGCCTCAAGACATTCATCACAATCACAGCTCACCAGTGAAGTCCGCTGAGTGAGACAAATACTCAACCACCTCAACCGCAATTCTACAGTAAGTTACAGACTTTAAAATATCAAAAGTTGCCCTTTAATTTACCTCCTCCTCCTCCTCCTCCTCCTGCCCCTCCTCCTCCTCCTCCTGCCCCTCCTCCTCCTCAAATCATTGGTTCCCAAACTGCCAGGCCCCCCTTCACCAGATGAAAATGTTTTCATTCTGCGGCTCACCTCTGCTGCTCATGCGAAAGAAATGCAAAGCAATCGTCCAGGCCAGCGCTGTCATCAGTAAGACTCCGCCCACATGTAAATAAGGTGCGGTTATCTGTGAAGGAGGACAGAAAAAAATCAGTCTGGTAACGTGAGTGCAAACTACACTCAGAGGAAGTTAAGGAGTCAGGAAGAGGTAGAAGAGGAGGATGAGGACGAGGAGGTCTAGGAAAAGGAGGAAGAGGAGGAAAAGAGGACAAGGAGGAGGAGGAAGAGGACAAGGAGGTCTAGGAAATGGAGGAAGAGGAGTACAAGGAGGATGAGGAGGTCGAGGAGGTCTAGGAAGAGGAGGATGAGGAGCAGGAAGGCGAGGAGGAGGAGTTCTAGGAAAAGGAGGAAGAGGAGGAGGAGGATGAGGAAGACAAGGAGGTCTAGGAAGAGGAGGATGAGGAGCAAGATGAGGACAAAGAGGAGGAGGAAAAGGAGGATAGGACAAGGAGGAAGAAGAGGACTTGGAAGAGGAGGATGAGGAGGAGGACTAGGAAAAAGAGTTAGAGGAGGAGGAGGGAAAGGAGGATGAGGAAGAGAATGAGGACACCTGGAAGGATGAGAGTCACCTGGAAGGAGAGCAGTAACGTCTTCCACTCTTTGCTCCAGAGGTCAGACAGGACCGCCGTGGCTACGATGGAGAAAGTCAGACTCACCAGGATCCCGATCTGACAGCGAGGAAAACAGCAGACATCATGACAGCAGCATTTATTTACTGATTACCATCGAGAGCTACAAACATGAAAAATATTTGTTTTGTATATGTTGTCGTGATAAAAACGTAAAAGCCTGTTCACCTGCTGACATTAAGGACCGGGGTTATTCAAGCTTCTTATCCCCTTCTTAAAAACAATGCTTCTCAAATATTGTCGTCTTGACTTAAAGACATTCATGTGTGTGTTTTATGTTGTTTGGTTATTTGATGATATTTCATGCAGTGAGGTTCTTAGTCCACCTATAAGAGTTACTTCATGTTATTGTTGTGGGCAGCTCCGTCACTCTGACATCTCTCCCTTAGTGCATGTCCATAGGATCCTGTTTGTGTGCATGTGTGTGTGTACTTCAGCCTATGTGTGTGTTCATGACTACAGAGTGTAAAAACTGAAATTTCCCCTCACGGGGATCAATAAAGTAATTCTTATGTTACCTTGTGACTCCAGTGTAAATAAAGCTTCTGGCCTTCTGACAGCAAACACACAGCCAGCAGCTGCAGAGAACATTAACACACACATTAACACACACATTAACACACACATTAACACACACATTAACACACACATTAACCTGTATCTAGAACTACTTTTGAATCACAGTTAAGTACACATTTTAGGATCATTTCAAAGAGTTAGACTTTTGGGGAAAATGCGTATTGTTGGAGGTTAAGATCATCTGTCGAGCTAGGGAGGTGAAAAAGACGCCGGGGTTGTAATTGTCACAAAATGTCAAAGATGACAACAAAAGCTAACTCTGATACTTTAGTGAGAGCTATTGTAAGTGGTATCCGGCCGGTCGTGTTCACATGTCAAAATCAATCAATTTGGAAGTTTTTTACGACGTTTGTTTATGCATGAATATAGAATAAGTCCCCCAATTCTGGAGGACCTGCCCCTAAAATCCTCCTGATCTGGTAGTTCACACAATGACCTCACAGAGGGAGAATACCCCGTACGACCCTATAATGAGAATATTTGCCTTTAAATGAGTGCTATGTGTAGTTATGGTTTTGGACCGATCACAGGGGATAAAGGTCACCGACCCCTCCCACTCGCTCCAGCTGAATTCTCCTGATTATATCGTGTTGGGCTCACTCTGACTTTATACAAGACTTGAGGAGTGTTTCAGGAGTAGCCTCGTCTCACCGTGAGTACAGTGATGTAGGTGAAGAAGCCTGCAGCGATGACCAGCAGCACCACAGACCAAGGAAACCAGAAGCCCAGGATCCCAAAGTTAAACCTCCACAGTCAGACACGGTAAACATCAGAGACAGTGTGAGCAACAACAAAAACACCAGGAAGCAACAATAAGAGTGGAGGTGCAGTGAGAAATACAGCATGTTCAGGGGGACAGATTCAGTCGTCTGCAGAGGAGACAAGAGGAAGATTAAAGTTAACATGTCGGTGTTTTTTGGCCTGCCGCACCTCCACCAGTGCCCACTATTTAAAGGGTCGATTATATCATTGGTCAACTGTGTTATGGAAAGAAATCCTTAGTTACAGTTAACCAAACACCAGAAAGCAGACTCGATTCTGACATACAGTACAAGCATCTCTGCTCTGAGTGAAAAGGTAAACAAAGGTTGCAGGAATTATTGTTTACCACTTCTTTCCCACTAATATTTGGCTCAGGTATTACATGAGGTATTACATATAAATTGCACATATATATTTTTTTATTCCTGTAAATTTTTCTTTGTATTAGTCTAATTTTAATTGCACAGGTTTAATTTTATTTCATGTAGGGGCTTACTTAAATCTCGGGTTAATATATATGTATGGGGGGGGGGGGGCAGCAGTTGTATGTTTATTTGTAACAAATGTTTCATGTCTATCTATGTGTAACTTTTGGTTTAACTGAATTTCTAAAGAATGAAGGGCTTAAGCACAAAAACTGATTATCCCAAACTAAAAAACAGACCCAGACATTTTTAAAATTGGACAATTGGTCGTGTCTTTCCTCCACCCACCAGTCAAAGTCGTTGTAGTCGTTCTTCGCTTGTCCCCAGAAGTAGAGAAACACCAGCGTTAAGCAGAAAGCCACCAGGAGCAGAACAAAGCTGACACCTTCGACCTGCCAACACATGAAACACAAGTTGTTTTTTTAACAGCCTTTTAATGACTATAGCACATGGGTCCCCGCCCCCTGCTTTTATCGCCTTGTTTCCATGGTGATAGAGGACGACTTTCCAAAGAAAAGACCTCAAACAGGAAATTAGGTTTTAAGTGGTGTTACTGTGACTCTAAAAAAAACCAGCTCATGTTTTATTGTGAACAGTTTATGACAGCATGAGTTAAGAACCATTTTAAAAAGGTGTTTCTCTGTTTTCCAGCCTTCAATGTTTTTTTTGTTTTTTATTAATTGACTTCTATTGTAAATTCTTTATTGACTGTCAGAAAAGTCGAGTAAGTCTGAAAACATAAAGCAACAAGGAACATTTTAAATTCAAGAAATATGTTTTTTTCCTATAACAGTTAGTTCCAGTCGAGTATTCTGATTGGACAAGAGGTGCTGATAAAGAGTACGTCAGCCATCTGTTCCTGCAGGGGGCGCTGGAGACTCGTCAGCAGCAGCCGCCATGCTGGAAATGCTGACTCAGTCAACCTAACGACAGGCTGAGAGCTGGAGCTGAGGCGGGTTTTAAGCCTCTTGATGAACCGTTACATCACGCCCGCCTGTCAATCATGTCAGCTACACACCTAACTATGGATAACATGTATCATTCATTAAATCAAAACAGAGCTGTTATAAAAAAAAATCAACTAATCAGACCTAATTCATTTTTTGAACCAGGCTGTAAACATGTTTATTTATGCTGTAAAAACGGCTTTTTCGCCTGTTGTGTGTATGTCACTTCCTGTGTTCCTGGAGCCAGCCTCTAGTGGACACTCGATGAACTGCAGGATTTTGCATTTCTTTTTTCAACACCTGAGGTTGTCTCTTGGTTTGGAACCACAGTTTAAAGATGTTTTTAAAGTTCTGTTCCCTTACTCTCTCTCTACAGTATCCCGTAAATGTATTAGTTCAAGCGAGAGATTAAGTACTGCATTCCAATTTTTTCACCCATCTCCATGCATGTGTTTATGGTGTTTTGTTGATTTTTTTTTTTTACTTTTATTAACCTTTTTTCTAAATCTCCAGTAAAAACTTATTCTCCATCAATTATTAAAAACTACAGAAATCACTTCATGTTCACATCATGTTGAGCAGAAACCCTCTTGTGTGAATAAGGAAAACGTTAAAAGAATATTTAATTTTCTTCACGTGTATAATACAGAAAATGCTTTTAATCAACTTCCATGGCTGAATAAAATGTTTGGTACCATACTGTATGGAACATGTTGATTTACTCTGATGCATTTATCAGGCAGTTAAAGTAACTTTCTCCAAACTGTTGTTACTTTATTAAAACTCTTCAGCTGCGTTTAGACCACAAATCCTTTACTTTAGTTTCCAGTGAGCGTCTTCTTCTCTGACCTTGTTGCAGCAGCACTCTCCCGGCTGAGTGAAGCTCCTCTCGTACCGTCTCCACCTGCAGCCGTACAGACCGACCAGACACGACACTAACGGCTTGTGCTCGTAGCGCCGCAGCAGCTTAGCACGGAGGCCGTGCGGCCAGCCCAACTTCAGCTGGGACAGCGTGGACGCCATGGCTCTCACACACTCTCTGACACAGCTCCCATCCTGCTCACACACACACACACACACCTGAAACACAGAAACACAATCTGTCATGACATTGCACCGAAATACTCCAACATTAAAGAAAAACAACAAAGTTCAAACTATTCTGATAAAAGTGCACGGTCCATGACTGGGTATATAGAAACAGTAAATGGTAGAATACACTTTATATTAAGTATGAGTGGTTTGAAACAACAAGAGGCAGTGAAAGTGAAATACTTTTAGTGAAACATATTATACAGGATTAACAGAGAGAGGTATTATGTGCTTCATATACTAAAAATCAGATGTATAATTATGAATACATAGATCAGGTTTGATTCAAACTTAAGGCTATAAATAAATATATTTTTGTGCGGAGATAAAATTCAGCTATAAATCCACAGAATGAAATCTTGAACCGGCCTCAAGTATTAGCAGTAAATCTGTTCAAACTCAGCCAAACAAAATGAAAAACTCAAGCTGTTTATGGTTTATGGTTTTGTTTTTGATCTCTTGTGCAGGAAAATCACCAGAAAATATCTTCCTAGCTTCCTGTTGCTGTCCAAAGAGGGAGAAGGAAAGTTGTGGATTTGTGTGGTTGGCCTGATCTGTTTATTTCACCCTTCACTTCCTCACATGTGGCGTCTCACACTCAGGTGTGTGTTCAGGTCATTATCTCTGCAGGAGAGCAAAGGACAGCTCAGACAGTTTGTAAGCCTCCTCCATGTTAATAAATAGACTTTTATTGCAAGGTGTGCATGCAAAAAGTAGCATTGTGAAATACAGGTGTAGTCAGTAGAGTGTGTCTTATTACTGGGATGCTGACTTGTACAGGCTGGTGTGTGATGTTTTCATAAAACACACACAAATAAATATCAGTTATTTACCCTCTCTAACATCTCCAATATTATCTACTGTAAAACACAAGATAATGGAAACATTTTCTTATTTTTTAATGACACAAAAATAAGATTTATGTTCACAATTTAAAGTGCATGCAAACTCCTGCACAGTCGAACTTGCAATTGTTTTGTCCCGACACAAAGCTGCAGTTTTTGTCATAACTGCAGCTCTCAGCTGATCTATTTTTTTAACTCTATATTGTGGTATCTATCTATCTTTTGTAAATGTTCAATTTTTCTTTTTTTATTTAAATTGTGTACTGTGTTCACTTTTTGTTTGCAATCTTTGCTGCTGTAACACTGTAAATTTCCCCGTTGTGGGATAAATAAAGGATTATCTTATCTTATCTTATTTTACAAAGAAAAATAAATGTAATAAATATGCTTCATTGATATGTAAAGAACATCTTGTTATTGTTGCTGAATGACTAATATTCTTTGTCTTCCTGCCACAGCGTCACCTGATGAAGATTATTAACTCCTGTTTTACTCAAACTCTTAGACAAACAACAGTTTACTGAAAGAAAGTTATGTGATAAACAACTTCGACTACAGGCTATTATTAATGAATGTGTGGGTTTTGCAGTTACAGGAAAACAAAGCTGCTGCTGTTTCACACTTTGCAATTAATGAGCTGCAGGACAAAGACAACCTGCCAAATTCAGTGCTCATACATTTTTAAAATGATGTCGTCACATGCAGAGCACAAATCAGTATTTAAAACAGCCTGCTTGTTATTCTGGTGAATCATGCATCAACCTTGCGGTCAAATGTTGTTCATTATGGTAATCAACAATTTGCAGATGTGGTTTCCACTTTCATCGACGTGTTTTATCATTGCCGAATTAAAGTCTGCATGATAATCCTTCGTTGATTCAGTAAATCACGTGAAATGAGACATCTGTTTTAAACATCGTGCAGGATAATGTCAAATTCACCAATCTCTATCATGAAGTCTGGATAAACACTCTCCTTCAGAGGAATGATCGGAGCAATATTTGACACCAAATGTTCATCGATGGCACACACAGGTTCAGTATCTCTGATGGATGATATATTATTAACATGTAGGGTTGGTGATCCATACCTCCAGGTGAGCCGCGCAGGTCGGTTCGTCCTCCCGACTGACGGCCGAGAAGAAGCCGCAGTGCTCTGCTCTTCTTCGGGTAGGTTACCCCGACGTGTAGCAGGTGGCCTCGGAAGATGTTTTTCGTCAAGCTGACAGAAGTTACTAACGCAGGAATGCAAAGAAAATACTTTGGATTCAAATGTGCAGCACTACATTTTCAAACGGGAGCATTTATTTGACATGAAAAGGGGGCCATGCCATACTGATGTAAACGGAATAACCACTTAATTTAAACTTGAACTCAAGGAAGGTTTTGCCGAATGCATTCATAATTTCTCCAGGAAAGTTGACACAGAGATACAGTCAACAACAACGTGACCTTTATTTTGAAAGCTGCAGCGGAAATGAAGACATTTAGTCTGTTGTGCTTTACAGGAGCTCTTGCTGATGCCCTTCACCTCTGTATGACAGACTGCCACCTGTTGCCACAGTGATGTAAACACACGGTAACGTCAGGTGAGGCAAGGTGAGAGACCCCTTATGATCCAGATCCGGGTACTCAGGATGGTTTGAAAAAGTATACAAGGCTTTTTAATTCATAAGGCTAGAAACATTTAAAATACACAAAAGGCCAATCTCATCTTTAGTGACACGATGAGACAAAATATGTTTCTTAAATCTGTGAGAAATGAAGATTAAAAAGTTTCCACATTTTATCTGCAATATTTCTGTTTAATGTAAAAGGGACTCACTGCCTGGAAAGTAAATCTCTAATGTAAAAGCTGCTTAAGGGTAGTGTTAGTACGAATTTTCATGAAATTCATTAATCTTGGTAACTTCGTGAAATGTATTATTCAAGTCTGCCTACCACCTGTTAACACTCCTACCTTTAGGTGTCTGAAGCTGTAACCTTATATGAGTGAAGCACCTAAGTAGTAGCAGATCTATGTTTGGATAGGAGCCAAGCATATGTTGTCAACAACTGTTTGCTAGACAGAGAGTCTACATCTGTTACCTATACAAATCAGTGTCATGTCATCTTTATTGTTTTATGGTGATGCACCCAAATGGAAAGGAATTTGTGGGTTGCACCTTTTTGACAGAATATAAGCAGCACTGTGAACACTGTTACTTTGTCAGCACTTTGTCAGTCAAGTGATTTGGAAGCGTGCTTGTTTGATGAAGTTGTCTGACCTCAGCCGATTAAACGGTGTTATAATCTCCAGTCTGTTTCACGATTTCTTCATGGGATTTATACAAACAGAAACAACCCCCACCTAACAGGTAGTTTAAAATCAAGCGTTTTAAAAATAATCTAACACATTAAAGAATATTTTTTTAGGACTCAAAAAGAGGGAGTCACAGTTTGAGTTATTCACATCGATGCTGCAGGGTAAACCTGTTTCTGGCTCCAGTTCTGTTTATGCAAGACGAAAAATCTCAAAAGCATAATTCAAATACCGAGAATACCTCACGTTACTGGAAAATTCAACATGTAGACGACACTTTACATTTCCATCAAAGCAGAAAGAATGTCAGAACTGCTCGAATAGAAATAAAAACAAACGGACTTCATGTGTTAACTTTGCTGAGCTGCTTTAAAATACAGCAGACTTGTTGTTGCACTACTTCTGGGATGAATGTCTATTAAGCGGATTTTAAATCAAATGTAGGTCAGACAGTCGTGTTTTTCTTGAGATAAGATGTCATGTCTTCTCATCTTCCAGCTCCATTGTTCGCTCTTTTGGCCAAACTTTGTATTGTAAAAAACTTCCCACATTCCCATCAGCCTCAGCTAATGTTAGCAATCTGATATGTAAAACTGAGCTCAACTTTAAACCTACTGAACATCAGCGTGTTAAAATATCTCATTGTAAATTATTCATACGGTGGCCTTAAAGGGAAACTGCAACAACAACAAAAAAATCACTGACCGCAAAAATGTTTCACAAAATGCAAAAATATTTAAAGGCAATATTTTACACAAATAAATCATAAAGTCTGTCCTGTGTAAATGTGTCTCTGAGTCATGACTGTCTACAATGAGTGAGAAGCTCGAGTCCCGCTGGCTGTGTTGTTGTCAGAGCTGTGTTTACATGGACGGCCGGCTCCTCCCCTTTTGTATAAAAGATGTTTTGAATAAAATAGCCTACTCACTTCTTATTTGAATGTCATGGTCATTCTGTGGATCAAAAAGTCACACGTTCTTCTTTAATACATTTTATGAACATAAATGAAATGCAAAAAAAGAATTGTGATCTTCAAAAATGTTTCATGACAGAAAAAAAGTTTGTAAAGCAGAAACATTTTGTGACTCGCAAAAACACTGAATGAAACAAAAAAGATAATTTATGAAATGTTTGTGTTTTATTAAATATTTTTTTTTACGATTTGTTAAGTATTTTTACATTAAATGTTTTTTTTAGTTCACCTTCAGGGCCACCGTAGAATTTATTCTCACAAAGCCAGTAGCTAATGTGAAGTTTGTTTGGTCCTCATAGACTAAACATCTGGGTCACTTTGTTTCCGCCTCTTGTTTCCATCGCCAACATTCCCAACATGGCCACATGGCTTCTTCTTGTTTACTCACAGCTGCAGGACGGACTTTCCAAAATGATTTGAAATGTTAACAGTGCTTCACAAACAGGAAATGACAAACGGCGCTTGTTTACAAAACTGAACATGAGTTTTGGACATTGATGGAGAGAGACGTCATACTTTAAAAAATTAGATATTTTTGGCTCTAAAAAAACAACATCCATAATTCATAAGAAATGGAGAGCTTCAAATTGTTAGTCCTCAAGTGTTTGGACCTACAAGTGATGATAGCTCCAGAGGGAAAGTCAGAGGATCACACATTTCTGTTTGATTTGCCCTCTTCTGATAATTGTATTTCTTTTATTTAAAGTTTATTTAACCAGGAAAAACCTGAATGACATTGACAGCCTCCTACAAGAGTGTCCTGCAGCAGCACGTCTTAAAAAAGTTCAACCCATTTAAAGAACAAAGGTCAAAATATCTACGGTCCAAGAGCAGAGTCCTTATCAGAGCATCTACAACGTCTACAATCTGCTTTCATAATGATTTAAAGAGACCGGATTCAGATTCAGATGTTTTTTTGTCCCACAAGGGGGAAATTTGGGCTGCATAACAGGAGCACACAGAAGACAAGAAACACAAGGACAACATCACCATAAAACATGGACCAAAACGACAACACAGCAAAATATAAAACCAAATAAAAACAGCGCAATAAAATCAGTCAAGAGCTCGTACCAGAATGGAAATTCAAGTTATTAAAGTGCAAAGTGGAGGTGTGCAAATGTGCAATTCAAGTGCAAAAAAGAGCAACAAATAGCTAATTGTTGTTTAACAGATTAATTGCACTTAGTAAAAATGAGATCTGGAGTCTTTTTGTCTTCCTCACAGGAGCTCTAAAACGACAACCTGAGGGTCAAAGGTCAAACTCACTGTGAAGTGGGTGATCTGGGATCACAGATTCCTCGGACACAGATCATCCTGCAGCAGGTTCAAAGCTGCAGGAGAGCAGCGGACCTCAAGTCGACTCTCCGAACAGATAACAAGAGTACAAAGACTACAAGAGAATGCAGCTTCCAGCACTTCTCACATGAATACCATTACAGAAGTATGAGGGGAGCAGGTTAAGTGCTGCCTTATAAATAAGGACCTGCTGATGATTTTGTCTACGAGTAGATAATGAAGACCAGCCAACTGGAACACACAGAGTCCGATGATGAGTCTTAAGATTAGTAATGAACCTCAACGCTCCAAGATGCGTGCACAAACATCCCGGTCATGTTGAATGAACGTCTTGAAATCTCAGTCTGGACCAAAGGAAGGCTGGTGATGGAAACCAGAACTATTTATTTAAAGTGTTAGCACGTTCCCAATCATAACATACTCTGGTTTATGTTTGAAAATTAGCAGAAAAATAACATCCAGGATGAAGAAAGATGACCTCTGACCTTCTAGTCTTCATTGTGATAGTTTTCATTATGAGGTGTGCCACTCTATTAACATTAAAATGGTTCTTTAATTAATTAAAATATTACTTTAGATGGTGGGAGGGAGAGTGAGAATTAACTTGAGGACCAAAACTAATTAACTACAAGTAAAATTGTTCAGGTTTTCAAAGTTACCTACTTAGATACTTTAATACTTATGCCAAGTGTTTTATAACCAAAAAAAACTTTGTTATTTCAATGTCCGAAAGTGTCAAAAAAAATCCATTGTTATATTTTTGTCCAAAAGCTGCTGCTTCAGCAGAGCTTCTCTCCCTCTTTCTTTTCAAACTGTAACACACAGATTTGATTGTTTTTACCCCTGAGCTGAGCCTCTGAGCTGTGGTCACTCCCAGGATGTAGATACCTCCCTCCCCCAAAAAACGAGCACAACTATCAAGACCTGTACAATAAATAGCAGCATTTCCTGTTTAAACCTCCAGAATAAAACCTTCTAACCTTAACGCTGGTGTAACACTGCTGACATTGGACAACAGCAGCTGTCATTCAAATCCTGAGCCAATTGGATGCAGTCTGCAGCCAACAGGCATCTACCCCCTTTCCCCAGGTGCACTAATCACCTGATTGAAACCAATCAAGGAGTCAGTCAGAAGGCAGCAGGATGCAGTCATTCCTAAAACAGTCAAGGAGAACTTCTGAAAGAAAAACACTGTGCTTACAACCCTGGAGACAAAGCTGGACTCAACTGAACCAAGACTTCAAGCCCTTGAGGAGCTGCTGTGCTGCAGCTGCTGAGGAGGAATGTGTCAGGACTGAACATTGGTCAGGTCATATTGCTGGAGCTAAGAAGATGGCGAGCTAAAGGAGCAACTTCAAGAGACTCAAGATTCCTCAAAAGGCAGGCCTCAAGCCTGGCTGTCTGGTTAAAGGGTGTGGTAGGATGTGTGGTAGGATTTCCTCTACCTAAATAAACATTTGAATTCATTGGACGTCTGCACACACATGACAAATAACTGCAGTACGTGTAATGTGTTTTGGTGCATTGATTTATACGACTAGAATTGGAAATATTTAGCTAATGTTGGCCTATTTTTTCTTTTTAAAATTGTGGGATTTTCCTTGATTAAGTTCAAGTGTTTTTTGTTATTTGTTAAAAATTTAACTTTGAAATACAAAACCGGTTATCAACATTCTGTATTGTCTGTTTAATTCTCAGCCCAGTACCCCTTAATTTGTTACATCTTGTTTTTTTTGATAATTTATTACTTATAAATACGTATTTTAGTTAAAGTAAATTTTGTATCCTGAGTGTTACACCGGCATGTTATGGATTAGGAGACTTTTAACATGAAAGACCACAACAAGGTGTTTTTCAGTTACTAATTCTGACTAACAGATTCAATCTGAGGTTTTAAGGCCTTTAAATATAACAGAACATATTATATCTATTCTGAACAATCTTCTTTGTTATTCAATTGATCACTTCTTGACTTAAAGCCGTTAATGACACCTCCATGTCTGACTTGCTCACTCACTGGAGGTAAACTGCCTGCTGACCTGATGTCTGCAGAAACTTTAAGTTCTTCGAAGAGCAGTCTTAAAACGTTGCTTTTCTCTCGTGCCTTTAGCTGTTGATTTGTCGTGCGTGTGTGTGTGTGGGGGTGGTCCTGTGTGTGTGTGTGTGTGTGTGCTCTGGTAGGAACAGTCTTATGGGATGGGTCCTTTTAGAAATGTTTTGGATTTTATGTGCTTCTGAATCTATTCTTTTTTGTTAATGATAGTTTGTATAGTGTTTGTTTATTGCTGTCTTCGGTGAAGTACACTAAGTTTATTTGTATACAATGTGCTCTATAAATAGCCTAAAACTGAATTTAAAGGACTTCCGTTAGCGCTTAATTCTTAGACGACATTTCCTCTTAATTTGAGAGAATGATACTGAAATAACCCGAGAAAGTGACATTACCATGATTTTAAAAACATGCATTAATTAACCTCAAGAGCTGTAACCTGGTTATTAAGGGTCGTGCTTTAATTTTGAAGACTGAATTGCGGCACTTCCTGTTTGAAAGCTCGCGGCTTGACGCGGCTGCGGCAACGTGGATCAACTTCAACTGGATTTTGACGTCGAAAAGGAGGGAAGAAGTTGAGTCGGCTGATTTTATTTAAATCCCCCCGCCCCCTCTCAACAGGACACATCGGGACAGCCGGATGAAATGACGGACCTGGTGGTTTCCTTGGCGGTGTTGGGGGTCGCCGTCCTCCTCAGCGAGGCGATCCGCCGGACAGCTGCGCGGTGTTCGCCCGGCGCGTACCGGATTTACCTGCTGGAAGCGGCGTCCACCTTCCAGCTCTGTTGCTGCACACATGAACTAAAGCTGCTGGGTGAGACTGCCCGGCTGCAGCTGCCGGTCAGCCTGACCCTCACGTACACCATGACAGTCATACATGTAGCCTCTTTCCGGGGAGCCACATGTAATCCCAGCGGAGTTCTGGAGAGCGTCTGCCGCGGCACCAGCGGCGCCCGCGCAGCTGTTCTCCTCATAGCCTGCCAGTTCGGAGCTGCCTTCGCGGCGCAGTACTTCGCAGCCTCCGTGTGGACTCTGGGTCTTTCTGACGTCCACGTTAACCACCAGAAGTTCGAGTTCAGATGCTTCGACCCCCTGGGGGGCACTCTATTGGAGGCCGCGGCCGTGGAGCTGGGCTGTGCTTTCACCGTCCAGGCTGCAGCCATGCATGTTCACAAAGTGGACGAAAAACTTCGCGCTCACTTCATCGCTGCGGTCATCACCGCGATGGTTTACACAGGTGCGTTAACTACAGGGGCAGAAATGGATCCACAGGTTCCCCGAAAGTGAAGGTTGTTACAGAGGATGAAGGCCACCATGGATCCTGACATGTCAAACACTGAATGGGATAATATTCAGATCCAGTGAGGATTCTTTAGCTGGTTATGAACAGAGGCGATTCTAGAGTATCTTGGGGGCCCTCCAACCAGCATTCATCTCCATCATGTCTGCCAGTGTCCCACTTAGGCTACTCTTTCTGTTCTCTCTCCTGTAGATGGATAAAGCAAAAGAGAAACAAACAGCCAATAGACTGATACTGTAATAGATTGATAGATTTGCTGACTGCTTGACTCAAATGTAGCAGGGTAGTAATTATATACTCCTGACATAACAGCCTTTACATCTTCCACAGCAATGATTCCTGATTACTCACGAGGCACCGACTGAAAACGAGGACCGATATTGATACTGAGGTTTAAAATTACATCTTAGCCGATTACCAAGTGTGATACTGATGTTTTTTCTCACTGCTTCTTGTGTAGCACTGTCTCCCACAAAGCCGACTTTTCTCTCGTCTTTGACCATGAAAACAGATCTGAGTTTGTCCAACAGGTGACTTCCTCTTCCCAGTGAAAGAAACTCTTATCTGAATCAGGAGATCAGGATAATAGTTTCTGTTTAAAAAACCAAACAAATTAAATATGTACAGGATGATATCAGCAAGAGAGAGAAGAGGTACCACAGGGTGCTGATGTCTATAAATGGTTTCCTTTTCCAAAAAACTGACATATACCCAAACATATGACGATACCAGTCAAAGAAAACCAGCAAAAACTCAATTTGAAATGCTGGAATCAGTGGAGTTCAAACCTTTTTTTTAAGAACATTTTTGGTTTCTTAAGGCAACAGTAACAGCTCATCTAAGGCGCAGTAACTTGCCATTTAAAGTGTGAATCAATGCCACACAGAGGGAGATTATAACACACCACTACCTTCACAGAACACTTGCTTTAAAGAACAGACTTTAATGGAGAAAGAGGACACTGACTTCACTTAAATCCCCAATCGTACAACATCAGTTTAGGTTGAGGTGGATGTGGTGAATATTTGGTACAAAAATCTACAGCTGTGTAGTTTCTCTTTTGTCTGTGCAGGTGGAAGTATCTCAGGAGCTGTTTTTAACCCCGTGCTGGCCTTCTCCGTCCAGTTCCCCTGCAGCGGCCACACCTACCTGGAGTACTGCTTCGTGTACTGGCTGGGACCAATTCTGGGTAAGAAGTGAAAACCTTTAACACATTGAGGGTGTTTCCTCCTGTTTCCAGTCTGGCTATGGCTCCATAGATCTCTTTGTGTTTTGAGGAGCCAATAATCACGTGTTATGTTCTCTATCTCTTTGCGTTACCTTCTTCTTTTTTACTATTGTTCATGATTTATACCTTTTTATATACGTTTGACAAAATTCACAAAACAAATCTCTTGCGTCTTCCAAACATGTCACCAGGCGTGGCGAGCTGCATCCTGCTGTTTGAGAAGCTCATCCCTTTCCTGTCCGGGAAGAGTACCATTGGACTGGACGTCCCCGCTGCCGCCCCGAAGCAGAAGACGCAGTAGAAGAAGAGCAGCACACACCAAAGTGAACCTTCAGTCAGTTTGTGGGTCTATTTTAAAAGTCTTTTGTGTTTCTTCACAAGTGTATGTAAACGTGCCAACGCTTCAATGGTGAATCTTAGTGAGGCACCTGTTGCACTAACTTTTTAATTTCACATTTTCAAACGACTTTCATTATGAGCAAATCATTTCTCCACTTTGTCCGTTAACAGCACAATGTAGGAAAAACAGATATTAAAAACATGGGGGGGGGGGGGGGGGGGGGCGTTTTCTTTGTAACTAAAGCACAATGAGCTTCATGACTTTGGGAATTAATGATTTGCGGTGGGAAAAAAAAAAATTCAATACTCTGAGACCCTGAACTGCTGCTAAAAACACTACAGATCTTAATTCATAGGCTTTAGTACGACACACTTTCTACTCAGATTGAAATGTTGTGAAAGTGTTGAAGGCAACATGGTTACTACGGTAACAGTTTTTGGAACTTTGGAACTCTGGGTGCTGTTGTTGCTAGGAGACAAGGTGTGACGTTCTGTTGTGTACTACTCCATAAAGCATACAACCACTGAGCACATTAGGACCTGTGTCCATTATCAGTGCCTATTTGTAATACTAAATCTATGTAGTTCAGCATTTTCAGTGGCTCAACGTCCTGAACTTTGGAATCTCTGCAGCGTCCGTCAATGTCACTTCTCGCTTATCGACCAATCAAAATTAAGCAAAGGGGGCTGGACTTCTGATACTCGTCTTTTCGAGGGAAACAAGTTCCAGGGTCTAGAGCTGCTGCTAAAGCCAGGACATGATTCATCTACATGGTTTTCTTCATGCTATTTTCTTAAATAATGTAAATTATTAAGCACATGGAGCGATTTAAAAGCGACCTAACGGTTCACTACAGAGGAATGCACAGGTTGAATTTTGTAACCTTGCAACAACGAGCGTCGGTGAGAAGCGTTCTGAAACTGAGGTCGTGGTCGCTGGCCAGCTCAAAGAAGCACCAGCCTTCGATTAAGTGTTGTCTGCACCTGGAGGAACTCACTTCCTGTGGTCGTACGTTTCTTTTCAACTTGGAGACTGACAAACTGTAACATTTACTCAGACTAGATAAGAGTTCTGTCTTTAAAGATGAGATGTTTGGTATCTTAGTTTAGTGCTTAGACAATTTTGAACAAACAGACATGATGCATGTATGTTAAGATTCAGTGTGACTTTCAATTCCTGAGGTTGTTATCTTCAATTTTCATCTTGAATTTTCACACAGATCCTTCTTAAAAGTTACACAAAAAAAATATGCCTCAAATAATGCAAATCATTTTGTTTTTAAAGTTTCCGTTTTGTATGAAAGTCATGCAGTGATATTTGACTACAGATCCATGGGCGCTTTGCAAACAGGATCTGCTACCAGCTCATTAATAAAGTAAATACTGTATCTGTAGGCAACAGGTACAGTAGTATAAGATATTTACATGAAGCTGCTCGAGATGGTAAACGTATAAAGACAGTGGAAAAGTAACTGATATGAAGAGATTCTAACTGCGGTACACATCCTTAAACAGAGTCTTAAGTCAGAGGGGGTTACAGGTGAAGGGAAGCCGCACAACTGTTTGGTCTGTTTCAGTTTATTGAAAGTGGGCTAACTTTGCACACAGATCAATGATGTTCAAATGTTTGTGATCACACCACAAAGCTTCTTATGTGAACACTGTTTTCAGGAAACTGGATGTCACTTACTGTAGGACACCATGATGGTGATTGAGTCTCTGCTTTTTTTATCTCCAGAGTTTTGAAGACCAAAGCTTCTGTCGTCAGTTAAACCTTTCCTGCATTAATCATGTCTGTGTGTTGGTCGAGATAATTAGTAACTCTCTGTGCAATATGAAAGTTCAAAAAAGTACAAAAAAAATGTCGATTTCTGTGTGAATCAAAAAACAATTCATTTACAACTTTGATACCTCGAGAGTCTGGATGATGTCCGGAGTACTACCTTTATGATTCTCTTAAACAAGAATGTGAATGAACATTGAAATTCATTTTCCTTTGCGTTTCTGATTCAGTTTGTCAGAAAAATGAACAGTATATTTTTAGACAACATTACATGACATGTTACTTTAAAGCATTTTAAAAATCTTGTGAAATAATTTGATTAAAAACAAAAATTTAGAAAAGTTACATGTAATTGGTGGTGTTTTTTTTTCTTTTTTTCTTTATTTACACTGTAAGTAAGGTGGTCCCAGCATTGACCCTTGTGGAACTCCATGGCTGAATGTGGGTTCAGGAGAAAAGAAGAGAATTTATTCACCTTGCATTACACATCGTTTGCATTCATTAGTATTGGTTTAGATGAAAAAGGGAAGTAAACATTTGGATCTCCTGATGTGTAAGCAAAATGAACATTGTAATTTTTTTTGGTTGATTAAAACACCCTTAGGGGATTTCTCTGATGATAACCAACGATTGGCATTCTAATTCAGCGGAAAAGCACTGTGTTTCCTAAGTTTCACTGTAAATAGTACGTAAAACAGAGGCAGCACTCTGCAGTGAACATGAAAAAGAAACAAGCAACTGAAATGCAATTAACAGCTGGAAAGTTTGTCAAAATGCAAGCTGAGCATCAACCTGAAAAATGAAGCCAAATGCGGAAGTGCAAAATCCTGCTGTTCTGCTTGAGGCTCGCTCCACAAGCCCCCAAAGTTTACAGCCTGGTTTTAAGAAATTAGGAGATCATAAATCACTCTCATCGGTGCTGTATCTGTGCTAAGGTTAAAAAGGTTAAAATCCTGACTAAAAATAATCTTTTGGATCTTAAAATAGGAAAATAATCCAGACCAAAGAACAGAAATTTGACAACATAGCCTAAACTGATTGAAATGATTTCTTTAGTGTTTTTAGAGGACTTTTGAATAACCCCCCAAAAAGAATAAAACAAATCCTATTCAATCTTGAGTTCAGGATACTTTGGCCTGCATGGTATCTGTTACACAACGTGACCCTTTGCCCTCGCCTCACCCCACCTGCTCATGCTGCCTGAGTCAGCCAAATGCCACACAAGAGCTGAACCTAGTCACGCTGCAGCATAGATAACATTCAACACATTAACAATATATGATAAACATAGATTGACTGCATGGTAAATCTGTAGGAATACATGAAGAGGTGTTGATGTGGACTTCACCGGAAGCTGCAACATGCTGCATTAAGATATCCACCAATGACCTCAACAGGCAGCCAGAGGGATCTGTGGAGCTACATTTTAATGTCATTTTATGTGATAATTTCTTTACTCTCTTGCTGCTTGATCATCTGATGCCAGGCAACATAGATGTGTTTAGAGGGGTTAGCCGTCGGCCTCTTTGCGGGTCAATCCAAGATCAGCTGACCACCGACGAGATTACTGCTGCGTTCACTGCCTGAAGTACAAACAGCTCTGATGAAGTCATGTGTTCATCTATCTTTAAACATTTAATCATTGTACCCAAAATCCTTCCACTTTGGTTGTTGCATCAGCTCAAGTTTCTCTCAGTTTGTGTCTGTTTTGACATTTAGGACGAGTTAAAAATGCACGCATAGCTGAAGTTCACAACAACAGGTTTGTGTTTCAGGTCACTCCTCCTGTCCTAAAATTGCTCTCCTCAGATTCCAGCTCTATCACCAGGACCCTCAAATTCTCTCTCACTGTTTCACATAATCTGAAGTCACAGTAGAAGTCTTTGGAGCTTCACTAATTAGCTTCAGAAACTAAACAGGTGAACTTTTGTTTGCAGCATTGGCAGCTTTTAAAAAACTTATTACAAATGATTTCAGGCTTTTATTTATATATATATATTTCACCTGTAATAATGTCTTGAAATAAGATGTTCATCTGGATTATGTGGCTTGCATTAAGTGTAATAAAATAAAGTTCATCACAGATTTCTGTATTGGCACTTACTAAGATTTCAGAAGTCAGAAAAGAGAAGATGACATAAGGCTTAAAACCATTTTTATTATGACAAATGTACAAGATCGGATTCATAAGAAATAACAGTAAAGTTAACAAAAAAAAAGAAAAGTAAGGAGCAGACAAAACACCAACAACCAGTCTACTATAGCATCTATACACAGCGGACAGGATGTGTCTTTCCTCCCAGATTCATCATGAGGTAAATAGGAAACTCTGTTAACACTTCAGTCATTGGCACCAACTTTCCTCCCTTAATACCATCCGTCGCAGCCTCTTAAAAATCACTCCTCTCTTCTATGCGGATCCTGCTACAGGTTATTTCATAACCGATAGATATCAACACATTCTCCTTTATCTCTGTGGAGAATTTTAAAAAACAGGTTTACGTACAGCACATAAGACATCCACATTCCTGTTCTTCCGACTCAGCCCACCAGAACACACACTTCTATTACGTCCGTAGAATTGGGTTTTGCTATATTCTGTCCTACTAATCTAAACAGCTAATGTGTGTATAGAAGCCTACGTTGTGCGCACTGCAAGCAGCACGTATAGGTTTTTGTCTTGGAAGTCATGTTGTCGGCTGAGGCCAGTATCAAAACAGTATGATAAATAGAGTGGTTTATCCTCTGTGAAGACCATGCGGAGACTCATTTACAAAATATTTTACAAACACAGGCCTTGTTTACTCTCTTAAATCAGATCAGCTGTCCTAGATTTTTTTTTTTCTGTGATAATCCTTTCCCTCCCCCCCCATCCCCCGTCCCCCCTCCTCCTCCCTCCAGGCTTCTGTAACATCCCTTTAGTAGGTCAGCGCATGCTTACCTATGCAGCTTCACTGCAAATGACGAGATATTCAGCTACTTCACAAGTCTTTCAGCGCTGATGCAACAAGACAAGAAGGTCCTTTAAACATGCCGAAGTGTTACAAAAACTTTTGTGCCAATACTTCTTCCCTTCCCTTAAAAAAAAAAAAAAAAACTATAAGAAACTCATGCAATCCCAAAGAATTGCCCGATATATTTTTCCATGATTACAAAAATGCCTCTAAATATATTACAGCAAAAAACTACAGATATACACACAGACTGGTTCCAGCAGAGGTCAGTGAAGTCATTGGTTTGTTTTTGTTCTGTCCATTTCCCCCCATCCAAAAACTGCATCCTGACTATCCCTTCAAAACAAATAATTCCACTAAACCATTTATTTTCTTGGATCTTGAGGTTCCTGAACGTTTGCAACTCAAACCTCAAGGTGATGAACTAAAGAGGATGTAAATATATAGATGTGTTTTTTGTATGTTGGAAGATTGAGGGAGGGCGGAACAAGAAGTGTAAAATAAAGGGAGAGGGGTGTTTTGAAGCTTAGTGTTGTTTTAGTTTGTAAAAAGCTGAGGGTCTGCAGGTTTTTGAACCTTCTATGAAGAACAATGTACAAAGAAATAAGACACTTTTACATTTCACTCAAAGAGACGACCACAAATAAAAGTTTCGATATACAAAAAATACATTATTATTAAAAAAAAATAATAATCACAGAACGGTAACGTAAATGTAAAAACAGGAAACTAGACTAGATCTCATTATCAGGAGGGACGAGCTTTTACTTCTGATTTAAAAAAAAAGAAACGGACGTAGTACTCAAACAACCGTGAGTTCACCACAGGTACTGATGGCAGCGCACAGAGTCAAAATAATTATATATGTGTACAATATACAAAAAAAAAAAACTACACTACTGTTCAACAAAACAAGCTCAAGAGGAAGGCCGACAGATGGATGCTGGTCGACTAGTCATCAGTCTAGAAGGTTATTCGACGTGAATAAATAGTCTAAAACAGTCAGAAGTGATCAGGGCAAACTGTTGGCATCTGGGGAAATGTTTCCTTTCTGCTGCCGAGTTGTGAGGGAAGATTGATGCAACGCTCAAGACAGTATGTACATCTGTGTGTTGAAGCTAGTTAGCTTAGCAACTAATATTTTAAACAGGAGGGAGCGGGAACAAAATGCACCGAGCATTACCTCTAAAGCTCGGTTATTTACTGTTTATATTAGAGTTGTAAAAGTACCAGAATTTAAAACTTAAAAGTTAAAATCAGACACCATTGATACCTGTTTCGATACCATGGCATAAAACAATAAAACGTAGAAGTCCTAGGCACTTAAAACTGGTTAACTTCTTGTTTATATAGTGAGAAAGTGAAAGCTAACTCCTGTACCTTAACGTCTTAATTTCACTAACATGTTGATAAAGTATTTGTGAAATGAAGACAGTGCTAACGTTTTAGTGAAGACCACATTGAACAAGACCAAGACATACTCAAGACCAGAGTGATCTGGGACAGAGACATTTAGGGATCGAGTCTGAGTCAAGACCAAGGCCAAGGCAGGACAAGACCATAAATATCACTGAAAAATCATCGTCTTGTGTGCAGCGGGCGAGTCACTCACTTAGACCGTAACACAGAGAAGGTTGTGGCCGTAACCGGGGGATAAAAATCAAACTTCAAATGAATTGAAGTTATTCGTTCTTATAGAAAGAGGTGTTTCCTTCTATTCACATTGATGACGTGGAAAAATAGCCTGTCAGTGGTGGTCTTGATTTAAAATCTGGAGTCCACCCAGTCCGAGACAAGACTGAGACTTTTAAAAAAATGGTCTTGAGACGGGTCTTTGAGCACCCCAACACTAGACAGTGCTGACTTTTTCTCTCGCTGCAATTTTGGGCTAAAATTACGACTGAAGATCTGACCTCTTGAGGTCATGAAAATAACAGGGATTGCATCATTTTAAAAACAAGCGGCATTAAAAGATACAATTTTGACAACCTTAACTTGTAGTTTGTCAAACAGTTTAGCATGTGCTAAACTGTTTTAAAAACATTTTTCAAAGAGAAAACAACACGATTGATTGCCATGGGGCACACTGTGCTTCAGTATGATCATAAGCTGCTGTTAGCACAAAAAGTAATATCAGTAAGAGTTAGAGGAAGATTCACAACAAGCAGTCGGGTTCTGCTGCTCGTACAAGAGGCTCCACTCCGAGTAGCTGATTATATAAGCTAAGCTAAGCTAACTGGCTGTAATTTCATTCACTGTGAGCATTAGAGAGTAGTATCAGTCTCCTCATCAGAACTCTCCGCTTGAAAGCTTTTCAATGACTCTTTTCCCAAAATGTCAAATTATTGCTTGACGGTCTAAAATGTAAAACCGGAATCCATTTGAACACAAGTCAAGAACGTCAAATTAAGTATGGAATGACTTATTTTTTGCTCCTAAAACGGTAGAAGTCTTGTATCCTTAAACGTCTTCCCACACAATGAACCATTTCAGTGCCAATCACACATCCACAAAGACGAGTCCCGGAGCGGAAATCTGTAAAATCTCTCAGATGTATATAAAAAAAAAAGAAAGGATGATATGAGATAAGACATGAATGACACATTTTCAGAGGTTTGGCAGTGGAGCTGGATGCTGTGGTTGCTTTGCAGGTAAAGGTATTGTTACAGAACCCCCTATTCACAGAACAATCCCACAGGGACAGCTTTGGACAGGTGACAGAAGCATCCGGGTCAGAGGTCGACCAGGAAGTGTTGGTGTGTGGGGGGAGGGAATAATAAAGTTAAGCAATATAAAAATACAATACCACAAAAAAATGAAAGAGTTCAACGTTTTTTGTTTCTACATATCTTCGTTATTGCAGACGTAGTCCACTAGGTCTGTGACTCCTAACAGGTCGTCTTCGTCCTCCTCCTGCGCCGCCGCCCCCGACTCCTGGCCGACCAGACCGTTGGGTGCGGCGGCAGCAGCAGCAGCAGCTGGTGTGGCACTCGTGTTTTTGGGTGTTTCCACATTGGGAACGAGGCCTGGAGTGGCGGCGGCGGCAGCAGCAGGCTTGATGGGGTTCTGTCCGTTAGTGGGATTGCAGTCCGCTGGGTTCGTTCCCTTTGACTCCTCGTCTGTTTGTTCAGCTGCCTTCTTCTCCTTAGGTTTCTCCTCCTCCTCCTTGCCCTCCTTCTCCTCTTTCTCCTTCTCTTCCTCCTCCTCGTCATCGTCCGAGTCGATGCGGTTCACCCGTTTACGGACAGGACGGTCCTCCTCCGATGACTCATCAGAGTCGTCGTCTGAGTCGTCGTCTTCAGAGGCTCTCCTGCGTTTCAGTGCCAGACGCCGGTGTCGCTGCCGGGAATCTTCCTCTGATGAGTCGGCTCTCCTCTTCACCCTCCGCTCCTTGGACTCCTCCTCCGAGTCTCTGGAGAAACTCGCTGCAGGAAGATAAAAAAGACCTTTAACTGTCATTACTGTCATCAAAAAACACACAGCCCTCTATAATTAAAGGATCGAAATACATCAACATTCATTAATCCATTGAAATCCAAAAGCAACAACAACCATTTATTTGAGATAATCTAACAACAAGAATAAATGAATATGTTTTAAGTTGTACATTTTATGGCCAGTTCTTAAGTCGAGTGCTCCTGACTGACCTTCGCTCTCGGAGCTGTCATGCGGACGTCTGAGTTTCACTTTGGCTTTGTTGGTTTCCGCCTGAGAGCCGTCGGATTCGGACGTCTCGTGGTAGTTCACCTGCTTCTTGTGACTCCGCCGAGACCGCCGTCGACTCATGTCCAGGTCGCTGTCGCTGAACTCACTCGAGCCCTCGGTCACTGAAATAGAAGAAACACAGAAAAGGCAATAAAGAAGATGAGAAAGAGATTCGACCAAAAGGACAACCTGAGTCTCCTAATCTGCAGCATCAGCATCTTCATGTGATCTTAACCAATCAGAGCAGAGGAGAGAAAGTGAAGACAGGACTTTAAACCTTCATACCTATTTCATCTTCATCTTCTTCATCAGTCTCCTCTTCTTCATCGTCCGAGTACCCTCTGGGTCTCCGCCTCTTTCTCGAGCTCCGTCGTCGTTTAGGCACCTTCCTCCTCCGCGAAGAAGAAGAGCGACGCTTACCGCCGCCGACCTCGCTGTTGTTAGACTCCGCCTCTGACTCCGCCTCCGAGTCGTTTTCAGACACCACAAACTCTTCTTCCGAGCTGCGAGCGAGAGAAGGAAGAGATGTGAATGGATTTATGTAATTAACAGTCTAGTTTAAAGTTTGCCTCTCTGTTTTGCGGTCTCACCTCTCACTGAGGCAAAACTCCTCCTCGCTCTCCTCCTCGTCCACGGTGCTGTCGCTGTCCAGGTCGTTGAGTCGTCTGCGTTTTTTCCTGCGCTGGCCGGCGTTGCTTCGGGGCGGACGGCCATTCTCTTTGCCCTCCTCGGCTTGGAGGATGGTGGATATGTCTTTCCCTCTGTGTCCTGTGATGTTGGCCATGTCTTTACCCCGACCAGCTCCTGTGAGGAAAAAACAAAAACAACCCGCATCGTTACTGTTCCTTTAAGAGCTGGGAAAAGTCCAGCTATATGTGGTGCTTTAGGAAATGAGTTAAAGTTGTATTAAAATGGAGTTTGAGGTAGTCGATTAGCTTGGCATAAAGACTGGAGGCAAAGAGCTAGGCTGGCTCTGTCCAGAGGTAAACATGTCACCTGTAGCACCACACGGGGAAAACAAGGCCTGGGTTGCAAAATGTAATTTGTTAAACTCTTTTTGTTTTTATCCTACTACAATTTTAAATATTTTTCTCCTATGTATTAATTTTAATATCTTATTGCTTTAATGTGTTGTATTTTATTTTTTTCATTTTTATATATTTTTTTAAAATTAGTCTCTCAATGATTTTTCGTCAATAACTTTTCTAAAGCACTTTGAACTGCAATTTAATTTGTCTGAAAGGTGCTATATATATAAAGTTTGATTGATTGATTGATTATTATTTTAGTTTCTCTTGTAATAAACTTTTACAACGGTCGAGTTTCTCTTGTTTTTGTAACGTCTTGGCTGGCTCATGACAAACTGGGGGCTCGTCTGCTCGTCATTCATTCTTTGCAAGAAAACACAATTTTAAGTTTTTTCATGTGTAAAATAGATTTTTTCAAACACGTCCTCCTACCTCCGCCCTCTGCTTCTTTGATGTCTTCCTCAATCGCCTCCTCGATCGCCTCATCAAATTCATCGAATCTGTAACATGGACACAGAAAAAGTGAAAACTTTATGAGTAGTGTTCTCTCCACGTTGGTGTTACACGCTGTGATGTAACGATTCAACCACCGCCGTCCTCCTTCATGCACGGCCTGCTCCGACCTCCACCTCAACCGCACGAAGTGTGGACAACAGGAACGCCAAAATACAAGTAGAAATCCTTCCTGCATATTATCCAATATGTTCTTTTTTAAAGCGTCTTGAGATGACATTTGTTAGGAATTGGCGCTTTACAAATAAAGATTGATTGAACCAAAAAAAAAAGTGTCCAAAATGAACTCCTCAAAATAAGAAAATGTACTTGTGAGAAAAGAAAGTGTGAACAGACCTGTAGCTGATGGATTTCTTCGCCCTCGTTGACCGTCGACCCCAGCTCTTACTTTTCTTCGACTCTTTCTTTTCTTTTATTATGATCTCCGGCTTTTCCTCCTCGACCTCCGTCTGCGAGACGAAGGAGAGAGTTTAGATTATGAACACCAACGCGAGAGTTTTTAAATCAGAAAAGAAAAATGCGATCACACTTCATACTCACCGAGGGCGTGATGATGTTTTCAAGACTGATTCCGACGTAAATGAGCCGCTCTTTCCTGGAAGAGATCACAGAACACGTTAAGAAAGGAACCACAAGGTGACATGACCTCTGAAAATGAACGACAACATTCATTTCCACATCTGTAGCTGAGATTGTGCTGGGTGATTACTGAAATACTACGTTTGTGATGCCCGTCAGCTGTTACGCTGTTTTGTTGGCATAAGAGAGAAGATCCTATCAAACAGCCCAACGGGACATTTCTCTGCATGTGACCCGTGTTGTTGGTCTGTCATCGAGGTCACACAACTGTTCTTGACTATATGCAAAGTGTTTTTTATTGAAACGTGGCTGAAATCTGAGAATAAGAAGTGGAGGGTGTTAGCTTAGAAACAAAAAGAGTCGCCTTAGGCCCCGTGTCCACCCAGCGGTTTGTCCAGAGCGCTGGCTGTGCTCTCATAAGCGCTTGGATGAAGCGTTAAAAATCAAAGCAATTGAATGGGCGGCTTGTTTCTATGACAACAGCCGCAGTATGACCGACACTGCTCTGTTGCTTTTTACTGCATGTTTCAGATTTGACATCGTTTTTCCTTCATTATGAGCATCGAACGGAGGATGTTTGTCCTCCTGCTTTGTCTGGTCACTGAGCGAGGACGATGTGGGTACACCATCCGTAGGAGACAAAGCTACAGGGAATATCTTAAATTATGAAAAGAGCAACAGTGATGTCAAAAGCGCCTTTCTGAAAAGTTAGAAGATTTTCAGTTAAAGGCGCTGTGAGCGAAGCTGGGTGCTGCGCTTCTTTTCTCTGGGTGGACACCTGCTGCAGCAAACGCTCTCTACTTATTGAAAACATTTTAAAAAGACGCTGGCGTCCAGAAAAAAGTGGAGACAGACTCTAACTCAGTAAATTGTCACTACTGCAAAAGTACACTACTCTTACGACAAAAAACCTCATTATCCAATTTAAAACTCATGTAATCATACGTTTTAAGGAAACAGGACTTCTGTAGCAATCCCTAAAAAAAAAAAAAATAACTGGAGCACGACTTGTCTCACCTCCTCTCCGCCCGTTCCTTCTTTTTCAAGGACGCGTCGAGGTTCGTGAGCTGCTCTTCTAATTTGTCACAGAGCAGCTTCTGCGGGGGGAGGGGAGGGGAGATAAACAACACATGTAATCATTAACTCACATTCAATGATTTCATCTTTTATATTTGTGATGCTCTGACTGGTACGTACATGCTGGCAGGGGGGACAGAACCACTCTCCGTCTGGGATGATCATGAGCGGAGGTCTCAGACAGGCCGTGTGGTAGCCGTTATCACAGGAATCACACAGTAAGATCTGGAAAAAAGAGTCATGTTGATAGATGTTAACTCAGTTCATCTTAACATCGTCTTTTCATTCAATATGTCACACTTTGGTCTAACTTCACCAATATGTGCAGGTTTTTATTATGCCTAACAAACCAAACACATGACCTGATTACTCTGAGAACTGTTAAAAAGTCAAGACCACTAACCGACACCAAGACCAAGACCATAGATATTAATGAAAAATCATCAACTTGTGTGGATCAGGTATGTCACTTATTCAGAGTTAGACCGTAACACAGGGAAGGCTTTGGCCGTAACCGGGGGGGCGGGGGGGGGGACCCAACTACAACTTCATTTATTTGCTGTTTTAGAAAGGGACATTTTCCCTTGAGAGAAAGAAGCCTATCAGTGGGGGTCTTGACAGGTCATTTAAAAATTACTTGGATTCCGCCCAGTGTGAGACCGAGGCCGATTACGTTTTTTTGAGTACTACAGCATTACCCAGGGAAAAGTAACGCTGCATAAGATCCACTCTGAGAGTTATTCCAGAAGAATTGATTCTGAGAATAATGATTATAAAGAAAACTGTGTCAAAGCTGGATTCACTCTCAGTGAGGGTAAAGGTAAAGATAAAGATAAACTTTATTGATCCCCCGTGGGGGTACTTGGTGCGCTGATGACTTTCAGGGACTCTCACAGGATCAGACCCCCCGTCTCACAGGACTAGAAACAGCTGTTTGGAGTTTTGGAGCCCGATAATCCTCTAGACTCTTTGAACTATTCTCCTGTGATCATATTTCATCTTCCAACAACTCGTCCCCAACAACAGATGAGTATTTTCTGTCTGAACCACCCACACACACACACACACACCACGGGGGACAAAAAAATGCACTTCAGCTTGAAGATTTACAAGTTCATCTTGGTCTTATTTGTCCAGAACTAAAACAAAGTCACATTAGACTCCCTCCAGGGGCTCTTTGTCACTTCACTGAATGGATATTATCAATGTGACTCATTTGTCTTTTCTGAATTAGTCCACCAGGAGGAGCCTTCGGTCTTTCATTCAGGGACTTACAGATGTTAAGGGATGAAATATGATCACAGGAGAATTGTTTTTGGCTTTCTGTTGATTTGATAACTTTGGGACATGTGATCATTTTTCTCTTTTAAGTGTGACACATAAGTTGTTTCAGTAAGTAGCTGCACGGAGAGATCCTGCGAGTACCCACCAGCTCCGGGTGATTTGGAAGACCACAATGTTTGCAGGGGTCGTCGTTCGGAGGTAGGTCGTCGTCTGAGGATGTCGACGAGTCGGAGCTTCGTCTCTCTCGGTTGCGGTTCCGCCTCTTCCTGCCTCTCTCCACCTTGTAGTCCTCGTCGCTGTCGTCCAAGTCCTCGCTGTCCTCCTCTTCGCTGGACGAGCCCTCGCTGGCGTTCTCCTCGTCCTCCGAGCCTTTCTTTTTACGACGCGCTCGTGTGTTTGACCACCGGACCCTCCGTCTCTTTCTCCCCTGAAACAGAAACAGAAGAGGTTGACTCATCGGGAAGCATGACATCAGAGGCCGTCATCTCGAGCTTTAAAAAAACAACAACAACAACAACGCAGACATAACGCGGAAAAGGAAGTCTCAACCGTTACAGAGAAATCTGCATCGTCTACCAGACGCTGGTTGCTGGTTAGTAATGTTTGAGAGATTTAAACAGCCAGAGTCTTCACTCCAGAGGTAGAGAGTAGAGAACGAGTGAAAATTATGAAACAGCCATAGTTTATATAAATGTATAATTGATTATACTGAAAATGTAACATGTGGTTAGTGCACACGCCCCATGTAGGGAGGCTGTGGTCCTCCAAGGGGACGCCTCAGGTTCGAGTCCGACCTGTGGCTCTTTTCCTGCACGTCATTCCACTCTCTCTCTCTCCTCTCTCCCTCTCTTCTCTTGCTCTCTCTCTCTCTCTCCCTAACACATTTTTTTTATTTTACTTTTACACTCCTACTATGATTTTACAAAAGTCACATTTTCAATTAAGAACTTTTACGAGTAAAAATAGTTTTCTTGAGGTTTAATGTTTGTAAAGGAAAGGGTTAGAAACATTCCTCTGACACCAGCAGAGGGCGCTCTTTATCCCCACTCTCAGCTTGACTTATTGACCTGAAAGGTAAACTCATTCATCAACCAGAGAAGAAGACGGTCTCCTTCAGTATTGTATATTGGCTGACACAAATATCGTCTTTCACTAAAGCGACCTCTCGAGCGGTCTTACCTTCGGTTTGGGCTGACCCTCCTGATCCGTCTTTTTCTCCCTTGGTTTCTTCTGAACAGTTTTCACCTCCTCCTCTTCCTCCTCCTCCTCCTCCTCCACCTCCCCTTCTGCTTTATCTTTCTTTTCATCTTTGTCATCGACCTGGGACTTCTCCAGCTTCCTGTCGTTGATCTCCACAGCTTTCGGAGTCGGCCTGGAGATCCTCGGCGATCTCCGGAGAGACATCCCCGTGTTTGTATCGGACTCGGAGTCGCCCTGCCTCTCCCTCTCCTCTCTCTGGAGCTCGGCTTTCCTGCGATGGGTGGGCCCCCTTCTCCTCCTTCTGTGGGGAGTCTTCACCTGAACTTCTGCGGCAGCTTCCTCGCCGTTTGCTACCTCCTTCTTTGTCGCGGACTCCTCTTCTTCACTTTTACTTTTACTCTCCTCGTCTGTGGGCTTTTCAGAGTCCGCTTCTTTGCTCTCTTTCCCCGTTTCAGCCGAGGATTTCTCTTCTGATTCTTTGCTTCCGTTCTGGCGCTCGGAGTCATCTCTCCTGGGCGAGCTTTCCCTTTCCTTTTGAGCGGTTTTCTCCTCCTTTGACTCGTCGTTTTTGGACATTTTCTCTGTTGTAGAATCCTCTTTGCTTTCTTTGTCTTCACATGGAGGTTTTTCGATATCACTGTTAACTTTCTCCTTTTTGGTGCCCTTTTCTTTTCCCTTCTCTGCATCCCTTTTGATTTCTGACGATGGATCGACTTCTTTGGGCTGCTCCTCTGACACTTTCTCCCGCTCTGAGTCTGGCCTGTCAGATTTGCCATCATCCACTTCTGCCGCCTTCGACTTCTCAGCACGCTTTGACGGCTTATCTTCTCTCCCTTCAGATGCTTCCTCTGTTGCCTTCTGTGCAACTGAGTTCATCTCAGTTTTTTCACCCTCTTGTGTCTCTGTCACATCGGGTTTACCGGCCGTTGCCTCTTCTTCTACAGGCGTGGAGTCTCTCATCTCGCCGGCGTCGTGCATCGTGCGGTCATCGCAGTTGACAGATTTCTTTACATCTTCGGCCTTTTCCTTCTCCTCTGGCTTTTCCGTCTTGGTGTCAGAGGTCGCGTCGTCTTTTTCTGGAGTCGTCTCTGCGTCTTTGATGTTCTCTTTCTCCTCGACAGGTTTACATGATTCTGATTGGTCCTTCTCTTGAACAACAGAAGACTTCACACTCTCTTCTGCTTTCTCGCTGATTATTGCTTTGTCTGCAGAACTCGCTGTGACCTCTCGTGTCTCTTGATTAGAGTCGTCTTTTAGCTTCTCTGTCTTTTCGACGACAGGCGGCGGTGATTCTGCTTTCTCAGACTCGACAGATGTCTTTGCGGGATCTTTTTCTGTACTCTGCGTCTCTGACGTTTTGATCACTGTGTCCGTTTTCTCTGCGTCAGTCTCAGACCTCGTCGTTTCTTTAGCACCGTTTGTTTCTGTTTGCTTCTCGGCTGTTTCTGTCTCTGAAGTCTTGGTGTCTTCAGCCTGACTCGTCTCTGATGTGTCCATGTCTTCACACGATGGTTTCTCCTCAGAATCCTTTGATTTAACTTCCTTTGACTCCTCCGTCGTTAATGATTTATCCGCTTCCTTTAATGTCGTCCCATCTCCCGTACAAGACTCTTTCTTATCCGCTGGTCGGGATTCTTTTACTTCTTCATGATTAGACGACTTCTTGAGCGCGTTATTCTCGTCTTTTTGTGAAGCCGGCGGCTCTGTCGGCGTCGGGGGAGACTCCTGTGCTTCTTCCTTCTTTTCTTTTGATGCAGAGCTTTCATTTGTGACGTTCACATCTTGACTTTTCTTGTCTACGTCTTCTGTGAGAGCTGCAGCTTTCTCTTCGACCTTTTCTGCACTGCTGGCTTCCTCCTTTTTATCTTTCACATCGTCCTTGTCCGAGTCTTTTTTTTCTCTGGCTTCTACAGTTTTACCTGCAGCTGCTTCCTCTTTGTCAACGGCCGCTTCGTTTAGCAACTCGCAGGAATTACTCTTGAGCTCCTTCTCTTGCGTGGGCTGAACCTCGCCGTTAACATGATCGTTGACACTCTGAGCTTTCTTTGTCTGCTCAGGAGTCGAGTCGGCTTTCAGAGCTTCCTTGACGGGCGTTACGGGAGGATTTTGCACTTTGATGCCACTATTTTTATCAAAGTCCTCAGTAAACTTCATCCCTCTTTTCTTCAGAGGGATTTTGGCCTGCTGGTCGTTCTTCAGAGCCTGTTGGATCTCCTCCGCGCTGCTCTTCTTGGCCTCCTCTGCCTTCTCCGGCTTTACCGTCAAACCCGGCGCCTCAGACGTTTGTTCACTCGTCGCTATGCTTTGTGTTTTAGTTTCCACCTCCATCGGCTCTTCTTTGATGTTCTGGGCTTTTGTACTGACGCTGTGATCCGCAGAGGGCTTTTCTGAGTGAAGTTCTGCTTCAGGTTTGCCTTCGATGACGCCGTTCAGAGAGGATATCGCCTCGGACGCTTCCGGCTTCAAATCGTCTTTCTCGTTATTCTCCGTCTTTGGACAGACGGCCTCTTTGGAGTCTTTGTTGTCTTCGTCTGACGTGTCCTCGTTCTTTTTAACTTCACCTGCAAACACAAAGAAAACATCCAATGAGAGCAGATAAAGAAAACGGTACAAAAAAGATTCAAACGAAGCACATCGGTGAGAGAAAATGCTAATTTGGGTGTTCTCCTTTACGTCCAGAACAACAGTCTGTAAACACTTTTTAACGGTCTTACCTTCACCTTCAGGTTTGTTCTCCAGGTCTCTCTTGAGGAGCTCGGGGTCGATTTGTGTCTTCAGGAGAGCCAGAACCTCCGCCAGGTCGTTTCTATCTCTGCAGGGAGGAGACGGAGAACGATCATGATAAAAACTAAACAACACAGAACACACTTTTTGATTTGATTTCCAAAGCCCCCGATCACATTTTTCGGACGTACCTGACGATGCACTTCCACGACGACCCGTCCAAGTCGTCCTGTTCCTCCACGTAAACTCGCACGTTGTCGTCTTGGTCGAGCTGATACCAATACATCTGACCGTCTTTGTCCCGGCCGATCGGCTGCAGGCGCATCTTGTCCGGGTCCTCCTCATTGATGGCGGTTTTGAATTTCACGTTGTCATCGAACTGACACTCGCACAAATACTGGAAGAAAAGAAGACGGGCACGGGGATGAGTTACATTAAGAGACGCACTGATTGGACAGTTTCAATTCTGACACCAATGTTTCCTTCCTTTTCTCTCTCATGTTTGACAATGAAAACAAGTCAGAGTTTGTTCAACAGGTGACTTCATCTGCCCAATAAAAAACCTTGGCTACTGATATCAGCTACATGCCACATTTAGTATTCATCAACTGTAAATATGACAAAGAGAAGAGGAATCATTATGTAGTTACTTAAGGGTGAAACTTTGAATGAGAGGACAGGTCAATGTGTCCCAGAGAACATGAACCTGAATCATTGACAGTTAAGCTCCGTTTCCACCAAGCTGTCCGGTTTGATTCAGAACAGTTCGGTACAGTTTGCTGTAAAAACAATATCTGTGGCCCTTTCAGTCTGCTTTTAAGATATACCCTCATCACCTCTTTCTACATTCATATTGAATCTGTGACTGCGTAATATCGGTGTCCCAGTTTGTGAATTGCGTTTCAGCGTTGAGGAAGCACAGCGGGAGCTCCACATACACTCACAGTAGGACATGCACACACACACACAGCGCTGCACGCCCCCTCCTCTCTAACGCCTCTGTTACTACCTCTGAAGACGGTACAGAGGGGATCACTTCATCCCTCTATTACGCCTCTGTGACATTCAGACTGAAGGCCAAACGTCACAGGGGCGTAAATATCGCGGTTTGAAAACGGCAGTCTGAAGAGGGTTTATGAAATGAGCAATAAATGATCTGGTTAAATGAGAGAGAAAAACCAGCCCTGATTATAAAAACAAACATGTTCTTACTTTAAGTATTCCCGTCTTGCACTCCTCCGTCATGTCTTTGTATCCTTTTTGTTCGAGTTCCCATGCCCAGGTTGAGTTGAACTCCTGGCATATCTGCACAGAAACGAGAAAATCACACATTCAATCTGAGAAGCTTCACTTTGGTGTTTGTGAGAAGGAAGTTCAGTTCGACTGAAACGCTTCCCGCGATGAGAGCTGCTAACCGTGTGGCTCACAATCATAACTGAACCTGATTGTTAATTACATTTACTCACAACAACAAAGTCAGAGGATGGAAGAAGTGATGAAATTTAAACATCACTTCACCAATTTGTTTTAGAGGTGAATCTATCAAAGCAACTCCAGAGGGTAAAGGGTATACACCAGGTTGCAGGATATGAGAAAAATGTGTGATAATATTGTGCCATATTGTGAGAACAATACGAATTCTAGAAAAAGAGTGCATATTAGCTTTAACTCAGTTTGTCTGATGTTCTCCATGTTTTACAGAACACCTGAGTTTTAACGTGTCCCTTCTTAATACAAAATACATTTCAAATACAATTTTTTCTCCTCCACTAAATTGGTATTAAGTAATTTTAGAGTAGCTGAAAGTTAGCTTTAGCTTCATCTGACTGCATCAAAATGCAGTTTTTCTTAAATATAAACATGAAAGCGTTTGTCAAATAATCTGTATCCACTGTCCACAGACTACTTTTACTTATTACACACGTACGACGTATAAATAAAATACCCAGAGTTCATAATTCACCTTTATCAGATATTTCTCCCATCGGTCCGCTGACACCGACTTGCCAATCTTCCTCAGCAACTTGACGTGAAGCTCAGCCAGCAGCTTAGGAACTGAGGAGAGATCAGAAGAGAAGACGTGGTCACACATCACTCACTAAACTAAGTTTAGCTCTGTGTCAGGGGGACCAAAGAAAAACAAACCAGTATGAGACTGAGGAGAAGTGACTGCTAACGAAGCCATTTAAAGTCCAAAGCTGTGAACTGTTTCAATATTTCTAACTGCAGTTTGTCGTCCATGTAAAGTGTTTGGCCTGCATTGTTTACTTCTCTTGAGCAGACTAACTACAAGATTTACAGCCTTGAATGATCCCCTTGATTGTTGACAAAAGGACATTTCTTATTGATGGAGAAATAAACGATCTCAAATATAAAAACATGCAGTAAGAAGTAACGGAGCCGTGTTGATCATATTTAGATCGTTTCTTTTGTAATTAACTATTACTGAAACATTCATCCACACATTTCATTTGATTCTGTTCTCCAGAGATAACAAGTAAGGTTGTAAATAAAACACATTGTTGACTTATTTATCTCAATATCTCGTGATAACAGCGCTTGGTTTTCTCATGATGCCGAGTCTTTTTTTTTACGAAAACAACGAAGATGTCCTCGTGATCACGGGGAAAAGCATAAAATAAGAAGTTTGATGTATGTCCTCTTATGGTTACCGTTGAAGGGACGATAAAAAACAGATTAAAACAGGTTTACTTTAGTGTGCACGTGTTTGAATATAAAGCTCTGTTGTCCTTTTACAGGTCAGAGGGCTGTCCTTAAAAATGGAGGGAAAGTGTTGAGCTTGTAATAATACAGAGAAAAAACAGAGAAAAGAAAACAAACAGTGCAATAATGGAAAGGTGAAATAACAGAGAGGCTTCATACTTAAAATTTGATCAAAGATACTTAAAAAACAGAAGGAATTAAAGTTAATAAAGGTCTGTCTCTTAAATATGCATGCTTTGAAACAATAACCTCAGCAGAGGAGGTAAATAAAGAGCCATGTGAATGTTGTATAACATGATAATAAGTCAGATTAACAGACTTTGTAAAGTGAATTATGCTGACTTGTCAATAAGCAATACTGTGAATTATTTGTATTAGATAGCTGTCTGTGCTTAAAATCGAATATTTCTCCAAGATGGACACTGAAGAAGATCGATATACACGATTAATACTAATAAAAAGCAATAAAAGTTGAATATTTTGATGTTTTAAACCGTGTAGGAGCAGAAGATGACTATGTGAGGCGAGAATATAAAAACACTCCATCAGGAAGAGTTCAGACGGGGCAGCGCATGCGCAAATCACCCCAGCGCAATTAAAAAGAAAGTCAAGTCAGCTACAATTAGCACCACGGGCGGAAGTGGAACGAGTCAGTGTTATTATTCTAATACAAAAAGAGTTTATCTTCGATGGTATAATACGAGGACATGTGTGGGAATACTTATACTTGACACTAAATAGTTATTATGAATGATCATCGCGGGTAATTCAGCGTAAAGAGCATGTTTAACGCGCTACATGAACTTTATTTTGAAAGGTCGCACCGGATGTCTTCGATATTACGACGCACTTGACAGAAGCTGTGCGAACCACTCCATGGCAAAATATTTTAACTGTAAATAAAGTGCAGAATTACGAGCCCGCCGCACACAACGACACCTTTAACGATGTAAAATCAAAACTGACGACATTATGCATGAATGATCGTCATGTTTTACTCCCGCAGACACTGAAATATAAACATATTCGTGTCTGTGTTGTGTTACTACTAACGTTACAACGACTGGAGAAAAAAATTAAGCCCAATTCAAAAAGCTAAAAAGTGAGAGAAAAGCTCGAATAAATCGGCGGCTTCGCACATTGCTGCTCTTTAAATTATGCACGGATGATTTCCCCCCCCTCGAAAGGCAGCTCTGAGTCGCAGTTAAGTTATATTTAAGAACACGAGAAGGTTAGAAAACCACACAATAACACACGGCTAGCTCACCTAGCTGCTAGCCTGCAAGCTAACGATACAATTATCATTAAGTCTCTCCTCCTCCCCGTCAGCAGCTGCGGGGTTTCCCGCCCTACCTGAGGATGTGTCCCGCAGGTATCTCTCCAGCTGTGGAAAGGTGAGCTCCGGCAAGTCCAGCAACGCTCCGTACCGCTCCAGGAAGGAGCAAATCACGGCGTAATTTGGACACAAACCGGGGGAAGAACTCGCCGTTGCCGCCGAAGCAGCCATCTTTTCCACACCAGTGTCAATGCAGCCGGAAGTAGCTCCGGTGCCGACAAAATAAAAGTCGCAATAAAAAAATAAAATTTATTTATTTAGCTCTTTTCAAAACAGGGTTACAACGAGAAAATAGAAGGATTGAGTAAGACATCTTGTAAATATACGTAAAGAACATGTTTTTAAATGGATAAAAAAAAAAAAAAAAATTGTAACACTTAAATGATTTTGAGGCTTTATTGTCCTCCAGATGTTTTGCTCACCCTCAGGTCAACATCAGTTTCTGCCTCGTTCATGAGATGAGATGAGATTCAACTTTATTGTCATTAAAACATACACAAGTACAGAGTAACGAAATGAGGTTTGGCATTTCACTAGAAGTGCAATAAGCAGAAAGTGCAAGAATCTGTGTTATGTACAGTAATTACAAAATTTACAGATGTAGACTAAAAAAAAGTGAATTATTGGGTATATATGGCTGGATTCATGGGATGCTATAAATATAAATAAATGCTATAAATATAAATATAAGTATATTTTTTGGATTATAATATACAGATTAAGGTGCAGTGAGCATGCTATACTAGATTACAGATGATATACAGAATATGGACATATTGTACAGGTCGATAACTTATTGAGGTCATATGCTTCATATGCTTCTTCACGTTTGTAAACCTCTGTTTTTAATACAAATAAAGTTATAACTACTACACCTCAGACAATACACAGACCAACAACATTTCCTAACAACAAAATGTAATTTAATTATCTAATTTATTCCCAAAGATATGATCATTTATGTTGAGAATGAACATGTTTTATTTTGCTCATCTTATGTCTGCTTCAGTTTTAAGTCTGTTTCTCAGCGTTGTTGTATCATGATGTATTAATCCTAAAAGCCTAACCAGGTACAAGGACTGCTATAATTAGCCATCGCTAGAAGTCCTACAGGTTGCACTGTTATTAGATGTAAGAATGCCTACATGTATGGTCCCTGACAAATGAAATGCTGAATATTTCTCCTGTTGGGGACTGTCATTAAATTGTTAGGCAAATGTAAATGTTCGTCCCTGTCTGACCTTTCTTATTCACACAGAGCAGAGAGTTTGAAGAAGGCTCAGTCCATCCTGGCAGATCTTAGTCATCCTTTGTCCGAGGAATTTAAGTTGCTGCCGTCAGGCCGCAGATTCAGCCTGACAGCATGCAGGACAACGAGACTGAGGAACTCATTTTATTTATTGTCCATCATTATGCTGATGCTGGCTGAATGTATGTTATTTTACTGCTGACTGCAAAACTAATTGCCCTCTCACAGGGAGAATTAAGACAACCGTGAAACCTGGAACTAAATATTTGAATAGCACCGACAGGATGTTGTTTTTTTAAAGAATTTTTGGGGCATTTTCTACCTTTATTGGAGAGACAGGACAGTGGATAGAGTCAGAAATCAGGGAGAGAGAGAGAGAGAGAGAGTGAGGAATGACATGCGGGAAAGGAGCCACAGGTCGGATTCGAACCTGGGCCGCCTGCAACTTTCTGTTGAGAGTGATGCGTTCGCTGTCATCAGGATAACTGTCTACTGTAATTTGATCACTCTGATGATTTATACTTCTGCTTCATTTTTCAAGCAGCCACCCAACTCTGTTTTTTTTTAATTGTGACATTCAGGATCTGAAACTTCTGCCATTCTTCAGAAGAAAATGTTGCAAGTTGATATGCACGGTTTATTTAATTTCTCTTGATGTTCCGTTTAAGTTGAATTAAAACATATCTACTCCGTGTGAAATGTTGGTCAGGAGGCGTATTTGTTGTCCAAGATAAGGAACACGACCTGAAATCAGCAGATTGGGTCATTAGTTATGTTGTTATGAAAACAAAAACTCCACGTGTCAACGAGGAGAGATGCGGGATTGACCACATCTGTTTGCAATAATATTATTGGCAGCTAGAGGGTGCTCTGAAATCACACACACACACACACACACACACACACACACACACACACACACACACACACACACACACACACACACACACACACACACACACACACACACACACACACACACACACACACACACACACACACACACACACACACACACACACACACAAAAAGGAGCCTTTTTGGTTTGATTCATTTAAGCTATCTTTATTTCACATTTATTTGTACACAATAAATACAATTTAACATCCACTGGTGTGTAAATATGACGCCCTGCAGTTTCAGCAGAGCTTGAAATGTGGGCAATTTGTCACTGAATTTCAGATCCAGACTAGACGTGGAACCAGGACCAGTAGCAAGTTAACAACAACTTCTCTATTGGGAAAAAAAATACACTTCTTCTTTTCTTTTTCAATACAACAGGGTAAAAGCAAACTTCAAAAATAAGTTTGATGTCATTCAGATCTCAAGGAGATCAACGAGAACACAGCGACATGGCCGACAGATATCTCTTTTCCTCTGATCCAATTGAACTAAGGTTTCATACGTATTTTTAAATCCTAATTCTAAAAAAGGTAAAATAACCAAAAACAAAAAAAAAACACTGTGCTGTCATTTGTACAGATATCCATCTCCAAGCTCTCTGTAAACTATATTTCATAAACAAACTGTGACATCTCGACCTCAAACAAAGACACTACGACGACTATTTAAGGCTAAATAATACAAGAGCGGGTTAAAGGAAATGTTTCATACCAATATAGCTGGTGAACAAAAACGTCAAACGAGGAACTTAAAACCGACAACGCAGCATCCACAATACTGAAAAGGAATAAGAAGACATCAAAAAGTGCTTCACTGTGACAGTATAGATTCTTATCCGTAAAATTGGACAGCTAGCAGCTCAGGGTGGTTTCCTCCTTTTTTCAAACGAAGGCGTGTTTTTAAACTGCACATGACTTCGTCGTAAAACTGTCATCAACTGCGACCGCTTCCACTGCAGCAAACCAGAGACTTCCACTGGCAGCGCTCATATCTTCTCTAGATCTTTGTTTTTACAACGCACGAGGAGGGAAAGTAACAGTTCACTGCGTTACTCCCTTTAGAGCCGTCTTAGAAAACTAACACAGAAAGAAGGATTTTAAACAAATACTCAACAATACGGTAAAGGATCCATTATTTATTTATTTTTTTCTAGGAGATTCTCCCTACTGACATAACAACTAAAATTGCCACTTTTCCCTTTGTTAGTGTAACTGTGTGGAGTTACGTGTGTTTGGAGGAGAGGACCAGCCTCGCTCCTGCTGGAGTTAGTCTTTTTTTTTTTTTTTTTTCCTTTTTTGATCGAAGACTTTTGGTTTATGTTGAAGCTACGTGTTCCCAACATGACGTGTGATGAGCGGCACAGTGTGACGTTGTTGCATAGAAGAAATCCAATAATGGTGCCGGAGCAGCTCAGCGAGTGATTCAGGGTTAATATTTAAAAATCATTAGTGTTCATGTGGTGATGATGTGTAGACATGGATTTGTTTCAAAGCGTTCACTGCTTTTCATGATTATGACTCGGCACCTCTGACCAATCAATGTATCTGTGCCAGGTTGTTTCACTTAAAGATATCCTTTTTTCAGTCTGTTGAGCAGATTGATATCACTCTCCATCCTGTGCTAAATATGAAGCTACAGCCAGTTAGCTTACTTTAGCAGCTGAAACAATCGCAAGACTTATTGACAAGCTAACAGACTCATTTGATCGTTGACTAAATGACAAAAAGAATCCTTTAAAACATGAAACTTCTTGCTTTTCTTTGTATTAAATCTTAACATAAACTGAATATATTGGAGATTTGGAGCGCCGTAACAAAACACTGATTTAAATCACTTTGGATTCTGAGAAGCCGGGATGTTTATACATACATTTATATATTTATTTATTTGATGATTGATTTAGAATTCATCGTAGCCCCGCTGACGTGGGTTAGCACAAAGACTGGAAACAGGGCGCCATCAGCTAGCTTTGCTTTATGTAAAGGTAACTGATCTCTGCCTGTTAACACCTTGAATGTGCTGTGACACTTTCATCCTACATGTTGTCACCACGTATCAGTCATCTCTTTCCTGATCGCTCCTCCTCAGTGTGATGTTACCAGACAGATGAACAAACCATCTTCTTCTCAGAATTGAGTTGCAGCGCGTTACTCTGTCCCTAAAAGTTGTTTTTAATTTAACATCATTGTTTGTAATTAATGCCCGGGTGATGCATCCAGTTCTATTAGTCATGCCTGCACAGATGACGATGCATCACACTGATCTGTTATCACTATATCAGTTATTATGAGCGATAGCAAAGAATGGAAACAGGATTGGAGCAGTATGAATTTGGAGAACAAGCACCAGGACAGATGCTTTCAGACGCTTAGATCAGACGCTCTGTAGGTGAGACTCATGTCCAGGTTTAAAGAGTTGGACAGTACGGAGCGGAGGACGTGTAGCTTTGCATAAAAGTCTTGAAAACAGACCTTTCCATCGGTCAAACCGCGGACCAACGCTGGTGAAGGGAGTTTGAATAAAACATGAACATGAGAGGAAATTAAAGGATAGTAAAGAGAAAGGCACGTTCTCCCTCCTCAGCACACTGACCCTGTGAGGTGCTGTGTGAAAAGACAAAGAGCACCAAGTGTCCCGGCCTCCACGTGTCTTCAGGGGGGGTTAAGGTTTCTCAGGTTTCCTTTAGGAGTCCGTTAAGAGTCAGAGAGTCGCTGAGTCCCAGCTGGTTCAAACAGAGCCTTCTTCTTCATCGCCTTCACCACCAGGGTGCTGCCTTCAAACCAGCGTGATCTCCACCTCCTCCCTCCGCTTCACCTGCCCGCGGGGATGCTGCTTAGGGGGCGGAGGAGCAGCACGGACCTGCAAACATCCATCCGGTTCAATAAGAATACTGATGACAATGTGTCGGTCATTTTTTAGTGGAAGTTAAAATGTGAACTCACAGGTCGAATGGTGCCAGCGCCGCTCTCGGGGTATTTTGGAGGTTGAGGCGAGCCTTGAGCTGGACCTGAGGAGAGCAGAGGACACAGGGTTACCATCGGGTTCATACTTCACTCATACTCTGATGCAGACAAAAAAGAAGATCATCTTACTCTGAAAGGGGCTTTTGTGTGGCGCCGGTGGCGGCCTGTGATGTCCGTTGTGATAGGAAGGAGGTCGACCAATGGGAGAGGCCGTGGCGCTGCAGGGACTCGACTGAGGAGAGGACGTGGTGGGCGTCTGAAGGGGGCTGCTGTGGAGGGGCCCCGGCTGGAAGGGACTACGAGGGGATCGATCGCACTGAGCCAGAGGGGAGGGGACGCCTTGAAAACAGAGAAAAATATATTAAACTGCTTTTTCTGCTGAGTACTGTTTCGCCCAGTCGCTGCAGAAAGATAAAGTTTTTATGTAATTACTGTTTTAAACTTTAATGTTTTTGATTAATCAGCTCAGTGCAGGAGGATGTCATTTATAAAAAAACTGTAAATAAAACAAAGTCATCCAAAGTGTTCATTTTAGTGCTGATGTCAAAACATTCATGTCCCATCCAGATGTTTGTAAGCTTCCTGTTTTTCTACATCAACACACCTGTGCACTGCCATCTCTCTGTCCGTCTCCGTTCTCGCTGCCACTGGTCAGATCCTCCACCAACACGGCGGGAAAGACGCCCACAACGCCGTTGAACTCTCCCTCCCAGAAGCCGTCGTCCTCGTGGGTCTCTCTGCTCAGGATGCGGATGATGGCTCCTTCTGGAAACGACAGCTCATCCTCCGTTTGTCCCGCGTAGTCGTACAGGGCCTTCGCAAACGACACTGAAACAGCAAAAGGACGGCTTGGTAAGTCTATGTCTACTAAATATCTGGATATGGATGGAAACCATGGAAACGTATATACACTGGAGGAATCCCTTACCAATGGAGTCTCCGTTGACAGAGCTGGTTGGGATTTCAGTCTCAGGTTCTGTGGAGTTGCTGGAGGAGTGTGATCGAGCGTCCAGCGCGGCCAGAGCCTGCAGCATGCTCAGCAAGCTGTTGGACGAAGGCAGCTGTAAGTATTTCTCTGGGACGTAGCCGACCTGTCCGCTGCGGTTTCTGGCCTGGAAATGCAAAAAAATATATAATCTGACTCTTGGTGGCCAAAAAATAAACAACAAAACAAAAAGCCATATAAAAAACCAAGTGCAGTAGAAGACATTGAAATCTTTGGCTTACAAAGTGAACACAATTCAAACGTACCTTGACCCAGTCCTCCATGTCTCCATCATCGATAACCTCGAGGATTTCCTGCTCCTCGATGGTGAGTTCATCCGGCTGAGACGACTGGAAACAACGTATCAGATCAGGTTCAAATTTAGCAGTTTTAGTAAATGTTTTTTTTTTTTTTTTTACAGCACATTCAGCATTATCTTATATTCCGTTGGTACCTTGTAGGAGTAGAGGACTTTGCAGGTGAGGGGATAGTTTTTCAAGGTGCTGGAGGGGCTGGAGCTGCTGTCGTCCAACACTTCACCGCTGTCCTCCATCTCCTCCTCATCCTCTCGCTCTAGATCTGCTGTTCCCTGCACCGACAGAACAGACGGGAAATAAAACCAATCCTCCTTAAATCAAGCTGTTTAATGATGATCTGCATCTCTCATCTTTAAATACTCATGAGTGCTTTGTGGGTCTTACAGAGAGTGAAGGATCATGGGTGTTGAGGTTGTTCCAGCGATCGTTCTCCAGCTCCTCCATCACCTGGTTCATGGCGCTCTTCAGCCATGTTTCCACAGCGACGCCTGCCTGTCGCAGCAAATCCAGACGGGCCTCTGCTTTCACTTTCACCGTCTGTAATAAAAATAAATAAAAAAAGACAATTAAAATGAGGACAAAAGAGGAATAGAAAATAATCTGGACAAGAGTTTGGAAGTTTGGCCTCAAAAAAAGCACAGAAACTGTCATGAGTTGAATTTTTAAAAGAGGATACCGATACTTTTTCTGGCGAGGATTTTAGATTTCATACGTGTAGATGTTGGACAACAGATGCTGTGTTGCATTACATTTTTTGTGTTCAACATTTTTTACAAACACTCTCACACTAATTGTGCTTTTATTATTTATTATCATTATTTATTAAAACTGCAATATAATAATAATTGAATAATATGTCCATGATAACAAAGTGCAATAATCTTGAAAATGTGTGTATATATTCCATCTGACTCTTATTTGTGTAAATATTTATTGTACCTATTACTGAAACCTTACTTATATTCCTATTCTATTTGATTAATATTTTTATTCTATATTTCTACTACTATATTGTATATTTTGGAGCAACTGTAACGACCTCTGGGATTAATAAAGTCCAAACATGTTGTGTTCAGCTTTATTACACTTGCTTGGTGCATTTTCCACTTTGCATTGATTTGTTGAGGCTCGTGTGAGTCTGAATATCTAACTCTGATGCAGACTAAAACCTGGACCAGGACCAGTTGAACCGGAAGATCTCAGTCGGTTTCCAACTGAACTTTAATGGAGTCAATTTGTAATATAATATATCATAGATTTGTGGTTTCCACAGGACAGCAATGATACAAACTAATGCAGCTGATGTATCAATAAAGGACCCTGGACAAACAAAGAACCCGTTCGATGACATTCGTCCTGTAATTTTTACTTTAAGATGTTGTACTTCAGACAGTGAATGAAACCCATCTGTCATTATGTCACTTTGTCATTTAAAAAAAAGGAGCCCCCTAGATATCTTGCTAAGGACACCTGTGGGACCTTTGAACCCAATTTGAGCACCAGTCCAACACAATATGTTGAGTTGTTGCAGAATCAAAAAACCCAACGATATGTCAAGTGAAAAAAGCAAAAACATAAACAATCCTCCTTCAAGAAGACACTGATGATTATATTCTTAAAGGTTTAATGAAGTCAGGTTTTGAATGCAGTGCTTTGACTTGTAGTGGAGTCTTTTCACTGTGATTTACTTTGACTGAAAACTTCCTCCACCCCAGTAAACCAGCAGGTGGAGCACTGGGGCCACTTTTAGTAACCTGAGCCTGATTGAGAAAACAGAAGAGCCCATTTCTTACTCAATAACACACACACACACACACAAACACACACACACACACACACTCCACACACACTTTACCTCTGCCCTCCTCAGACTCTGCCTGGCCACCTCCATCTTGGTCTCCATCTCTCCGTTGTTCTGCTCAGATGAATCCTGTGTCCCGTATTCCTCCAGGGCCTGGAAACACAACACAAACAGATGATACTCCAAACCGTCATCTGAGTTGTATAAAAACATCACAACATTGAATTCCTCCTACAGTAATCCCCTCTAATTGAAGACATTTGATTGAGCTTCAGTGGAGACACAGTGACTCATTTCCTGCTTCATGGAAACAGATTGTTTGATCCTGGAAAAAACGTCACTGACAGAGTTTGGGAATAATTTCCTGATGTGGGTTTCGAAATAAACCAGGAAGAGAGGGAGATTACAGTAACTGATGATAAACTCTTATCATATTTATACTGACACATGGGGAATGTTTTTATGATCTCTGGGTTTGTTATTATCGACCTTCTTCAGGTTAAAGGCCAAGTTCCAATATGGTTGACACAGATATAAACCGCTAATTTAACTTTATGACAACTTTAAAGAACCGCTGTGGCACAGCACATTATCTCAGGGTAATCTCAGGCCGCCTTTCAAACTCATCTCTCCATTAGTAGAGTCACGTACTCACCCTCTGAGTGTGGATGATGCTCTTGTATTCTCGGGCCACGCGGCTCGCCCATTTCCTTGCCTCTTTATCCAGACTGTGCTCCTCTGCCGTTCCATTTTCTTTCTCAAGCTGCAACACCTGAACACACACAAAAGAGAGAGAGAGATAGAGAGAGGAGAGAGAGAGAGAGAGAGAGAGAGAGAGAGAGAGAGAGAGAGAGAGAGAGAGAGAGAGAGAGAGAGAGAGAGAGAGAGAGAGAGAGAGAGAATAAGGGAGGGTAGGTAATAAAGTTAAAAAAAAACAAGAATGCATTTCAAGAAAACAGAGGGAAACGGGAGGGAATTTCAGGAACTTATTACAAAACAACAAACCGTTACGATAGTATTACGGTCATTTCTATGTTGCAACATGATCATGTAACACTTGGTGTCCACAACGGGGTTTTTTTCTGAGTGCCAGTGTCATTTTCAATTGAGGAGAGAGCGTTCTCAATCACAGGCAACCGATGGGATTGAAATTCTTTCAACTTTTCAGAAAGGTGTTGTTGACGTCACCTGCGCTCTTTTCCAAATGTGTGATAATCCCTGTACTTTTGCGTCCTACAGATCGTGTCTTGTACACACATCCTCTTTGCTCCGTGTCTGATCAGGAAATAAATGATCTCAAATAAAAAAAAACATGCAGTAAAAAGTAACTGAGCCGTGTTGATCAAACAGCGGCCGTTATCTATTCACTGCAGTTTGGGGTCAATATCTGTCGAGGACCCTGTTGGGTTTTTTTCCAAACTGGAATAATAATATTCAGCACCACGCTTCCAAAATGTTATCAGCGAGTCAGGACAAGAATATATTGCCGTATCGATATTGTGTCCCACCCCTACTGTACAATATATCAACTAAATGTTAAATAAAGGTTTATATTGACCGGTTTAGAGTCAGGTTTGTTCCAGTTACTGAAACTGTTGTCAACAAACTTTCAAAGCAAACTCTCAGAGAGCTCTGCCTGTTTTTGAGTTCTTTCTGAGGTTGTTTGTATAAAATGCAATCTTTGTTAAAAAAGTGTCCAAAATAAATTCTTACTTAAGCTTTAAGAGGACCTTGTGGTTTTCCTAAAGGCCTGTGAAGGGAACTACCAGTGTGAGTTATGTTTATGTTGATGTGGCAACTTCCTCTTTACATATAACAGGGGACTGGCTAACACATACAGACAGCAGACAGGAGAGGGGCTGGAATAGAGCGTCTCAGCATCAATTCTGTTCCAGTCTGATTCTTCTGGTTGTATTGAAGTAGTTAATTATCATCCAAAATGTAAGACAGAAAGGAAACATAATGATCTTACACGCAGAGGTCCAGCTGGCTCTAAATTCAGTAAAAAGGGAAAGGGGGCGACTCGGTTTGCCTCGTATCTCTTAATTTAATTTGATCTTTATTAAATTTTTAGTTAAGACGTTTCCACATGACAACAGCAGTGTGTGTGTGTGTGTGTGTGTGTGTGTGTGTGTTTGTGTGTTGTGTGTTGTGTGTGTCTGTGTAGGGCGGGGAGGGTCAGTGCACTCTGGTGAGGCCCACTCACAATGCCTCCTTTTCACAGCTGGGCCGTTCACAGGGCCCGGCCTACCTCCTGCCCCTCCCTCACAGTTCAGCTCTATTCCTCACCGGATCCCTCCGTCTGGTGCAAGTGGTATGGGGCAGGAGGGCGAGGGGGGGGCGGGGGGCGGCAGGGGAGGAGAGGGGAGGCTCTCCACCACTAATGTTTTCTTTAGGAACAGGCTGCTGCTTGTTTGACTTCCAATGAAAACAACGCCAGCGTTTGCAGTTTGAACAAATTGTCCAGTGTTGTCCGGTGGAGCAGAGGACCGGAGCAAAGGAGGACCGGCAGAGTGGGGCAACAGACAAGCATGGCTAAGAGAGAAGTATGTGTGACACCTTCAGCAATGCATCACATTCACATACAGAAGCCACCCTTTAACCACTGCCGCATTTAGGGCAGCAGGGTCGTCTTCATAGGGTGATGATTCAATATTTCTGGACTAAAGGTGACATTTATGAGAGTTTTTATAGAGGGTTAAAAATGTGATGAAGCGACCATGACTGGTGGAAAACTGTCAAAAATAGATTCCAGTCCATGAGACAGTGTGGGCTTCATGAACAGGTGTGTGAAATCCAGGGGGCGGGGCTAAATGTCATGACGGCTAAATACGGTCGACCTGATTGTGTGATACAATTATGCAACTGCTGTTTTGAAATATTGATTACAAATGCCTGCGTCTTTGAGGGGGAGGCGTAAAAGCACCGTTTGTGTTTAACGACAGTGCAGTTACACTCAGAGACCTTTGGTGGGCGCCAAAGTGCAAATTCCTCCAAAATGTTGCTTTAAGACACTCATCTTTGCAAAGAGAGATCTTTTTGTAAAAGAAAGCACTTATTCTAAAATTACTTTTTTTGATCCTGAAAATGCATCCAGTCAGGACAGAAATGTTTGAACGACTGAGACGTGTTAATGTGTCTGAGCTGAATCCAGGTTATTGACCCGCTCAGCCATTAAGGTGCCCGTCATGAACTACTTGTTCCACTTGAACTGATTTGGGAATGTACACCAATCCCAACAAATTAGACCATCGTCTGATGAGCTTGGTTGAATTTCTGACAGTTTGCAACACTGTTTGTTTTAGCTGTAGTTTTTTTTTTTTTACACAACTTACCAAATCTGGGGATATGACTCCCTAAAACGCTGCAAGATAAACTAAGCAGCCATGAAGCCATAAATCTGGTAGAGAGTCATAAACATTTCTTATTGTAAGTGTAAATATTTATGGACCAGGATATGTATCATGTGTGTTGTATGTTTGTATTTGTTATGGATTGTAAAAGCAACTCTCTCTTGTTTCAGAATGAGGTAAATGAACGGCAGGTCGGTAAAAAGTCATTCCACGTTGAGAGCTAAAACTACGATGAAATGAGCTTGATTTATAAAAGCTATCGGGGATCAGCAAGGTTTTGAGGTAAGTTGGAAATGTTGTGTGTATATTTAACTTACTTTTCTTTAATGAAAACATGTGGTATTCATGGCATAACTAAAACAGAACAAAAATAAATACATATTTTCTGAATAAGGACCCCCAGTGGTTCCACCAAATTGGAAAGGGGACATTTTTTATAATTTCTTAGTTTTGTTTTTATCATGTTTTAAATAGTTAACTTTCTCTCTAATGCCTTGTCTCTTGTTACATCTGTTCTGTAGTTTGTGTGTCATGATGGATGTCAATGTTTCTGGTTGCAAAAAAATCTACCTATGGGTTCAAATAAAGTCACCTGCACCTGAATCTGTCTGATCACACTCAACTAGAACAACTTGATCTATATTAGTGTTTTGTGTGTTTTCTGTAATATAATTTGTGTCTCACACAGCTGAGTCAGCACAGACAATTCATGTTCAACATGGTGACAAACTGAGACCTACAGGTATCAACTTTAAATCTACTTTCATGTCTGAGGTCTGGGGACCAAAAAGAGAGTAGAGAAGAAGAAAAGGAACAGATACACCTCCAATGGTTGCTGTACTGGTTCACATCATGTAACATTTTATAAATAAAAGCGTCAGGACAAACCGTGTCAGAGTCGATGGGCTGGTACAAGAAGTCCGGGGCCTGCTGAAACATGAGGTTGCTCTGTACAAACAGCTGCTGGTGGAACTCCTCTGCGACCTACAGAAACGTAAAGGAGAACAGAAAAACACATGTTTAGACTTTTTGCAGAAATGTATGAGAATCCTGATCTTTCATCAGACGTAATCCGTTTAATTCTTTATAACTTTTGTTGTATTTTCAGTCACTGTTGCCCCTTTATATGCATTTTATTATAGAACATATTAGATGTATAATTACAGATTTAAAAAAACCTATTTGGAGATTTAATCCAGGCAGTATATGTTAACAATTCATATTATCCTAGAGTAAATCTCTTAATAATTACTTTAATCCACATTGTATTTATAGTAACACAAGTTCTTTGTAGAGTCTCAACAGTAAGTTGATGATTTTCCCAAAGATCTTAACAAAAATAACATCGACCTGCAGCGTTTGTGACCTGTTCTTAGGGCGTTTCTGAATACAGGGACGTGCACAAATCAGAGTTTATTAGCCATTACTGACGGTTAATTTCCATAAAGTCGAACCCAATAAGTGAAAGAATTACGTAAAATAAAAACAGTTTATCAGAGCAGTGCACTGAGGGAGTGATAAGTGCCTGATAAAACAACCTAATTAAAGCAAACCAGCATCATTATCTAAAAAAAACATGTATTCATGGCTTTTAAAAACATCTGAGAGTTATTATGTTGCTCCCGTTAGACCAGAAAAACCAGAAGTGGAGGATTTAAATAGTCTGTATTTGCATGTTTTGAGTCAAATTTGTATATTCTGCAGGGAAAATCGATCGTGACATTACATGAACATAGTCTACAAGACAAGAACATAGCTCAAATTAGAATGCCTAATTACACAAAGCACACATAAGATCTGGTTTAGGGGAGTTGTCTTGACACTAGAAGCACATGAACTGATCTGTGTACTCTTTGCTGTCTCATGATTTGTTCATACATACGGAGCTGAAGAGAAACGAAATGCCACTGAAACTCCTGAGCTGCAAGAGGACCTGAAGATATCACCCTGACCGAGGCCACGAGCGTGTAACCAAGAGCACAGAGGAAACTCAAACCGGCCATTTCATTAGCAGCCAATAAGGAGCCAGCGTTCAGCTCTTCCCCCATTCACAAAGAAACACTGAGATACTGACAGAATCAGACATGTCCACTACATCAGAAGGATCAGCCTTGGTATTATTTATAAATCAAACCTGGCTAAGAAAACACAATCCATTGCCAACCTTTCCTATTTTTTTGTTATCAAATCAGCTGCTCGTCTTTATGACACCCAGGATCTACACTGTGAGCGTCTCACTGAATACTAAGAATACAGCTGGAGAATGCAAAATATTGACTACACCAGTGAAACTCTGAAAATTGGCAAAATGCAGAGTATAAACAAAACATTCAGGAAGCAGTTTCTCATTTTCATCCCATGACTTTCACTTTTGCAGGTTGAATTCAGCTGCTTAGTTAATTTACCTTTCTTCTGAGTCCCTCGAACAAAGAGGAAATTAAACTTAGCTGTTGTCTGAATTCTCGAAACTCGGCACATCTTCTTTCTAGCTTTCAATCATACGATGTTGAAAATATTTGCAGATCAATGAATACTTTGAATCAGGGTATTCAGGTTTGGCTCGACTATCTTGCAAATATTGAGATAAGCAAAGTAAGAAGACTAAATATAGATTTAATAAACAATGCTCACATTTTGCTTCCATGTTTGTATTTTTTTGGATCATACAGATTCAATATTTTTGGAATAATTCTTTCAGGATTAAATCCATGCTATCTTGTCCTATTTTCAAGTCTCGGCTGCAGTAGCTTTAAGAATCACACAAAAAGGCTCTGGGTCTAAAATTAAAAACAGGACATGAAGTGAAGTACTGGTTGACTGGGAGGTTTTTAGACTTACTCCATTTGAGCTGTTCAGGATCTGGTTGAAGGTGTTGTGGACAGCCTGGTACGTTTCCAGCTCAGTCTGACACAGGGACACCAGGTAATCTTTTACCTGCTCATAGATTCTGCCATCTAAGACCTGCAGATCCAAACATAAAGAACACGATTACAGTACAGGTGTTCCCCACAATCATCAACTTACAAATTCACGGTGCACGATATTTCCTCACCTTGATGCAGTCCATGAGGTCTGTGTTGTAGTAGCGCTGCTGGTGAGCGTTAGCGGCTGCTAGCGTTAGAAGGTAGTCATTTCTGGCGTGCGTGGCTTTGGAGTTACACTCGCTTCTCTTGGCTTTCAGCTGGAACGTTAAAGTTCATACTGTTTGACTGTGGCACAGAAATGGCACAAAAGGGCGAGCAGTTTATTTGGATGTTATGATGTCATACCTTCACACTTGCCCTCTGGAGACTGGACCTGGACTGGAAGAGACTCAGCTTCGACCTGAACAGAAATAAATAAAGTTAGGAATGATTTGACTTTTTTTGGCTACAACAAAAGAAAACAAATATTTATTTGTAGTATCATTTTTATCAGACATTTTGCATTTGATTAGAAAATAGAACCCCAATTTCTTGGCTGTATTGAAGTGTATTTTGTGTTATAGTGAGTGATTTCATCTAATTATGTACATGAAAAATGTTTTAAATGTGAAGTGACTGCATGAAAAAAAAAACATAATTTCATAGTGATGCCCTCTTCTATATAAAATCACTTAACATTTAAAATGAGCTTGACAAGGTTGCCTCAACAGTTGTTAGAGAATCTGAACAATTGACTGTGAAATGCAGAAACCTTCACATTTAGGGACAAACGAAATTTAAAAAAAAAAGAGACAAATGACAAAAAAAAGTAACAAAGCCATGTCTTCTATCATAACATATTAAGGCATGTTTTCAAAATAAGGTCTGAGGGAGGGGAGGAATCTGATTTCTAACCTGCTGCTCGGAGACACAGACTGACATCCACCAGACGTTACAGAGCATGTTCTCTCATAACCTGTTTAACCTTGTTTCTCTGAGTAACCTGCTTCCTTATATGCATGTACACGAACTGATGAAATGAGGGAAATCACAGTTTACAACACAAACAGATGTAAAGTTATTTATCAAAACCATTTGTAGAGCAGATGTTTGCACCTTTACAACTCAATGACCTTCAGTTCATTTCACTCTACAGAAGTTAAAAGGAAGTGAGAAACAGAGCTGAAGCCACTGGACTGTGTCAGGCCAGATCATCATCATAGTATTTGTAGTGTTAGAATGAGATCCAATCCAGCTGTGAAACCTTTCTGACAGCAACACTTCATAGAGCAGCATATCAGCTCCACACCAAACTGTCCTAAGGTGCAGAAAAATGTCTGCAATGTGTTGAGTGTCAAAGTGCCAGCTGTTCCTGTTGTGCCAGGACGACAAAGAGTTGATGGTACAAGAGAGAAAATGACACCTTCCCAAAGCTTGAATATAAAATATTTGTTGGGCTGAAACTTGAAAACTTTTCTGCAGCTTCTTTTAAGAAAGCCTCCCTTCATTTCAAAATGTGTTCAGCTTGTTTTTGTTTCACTTGGATGTGAGAGCCTCACTGTGTGCGAAGATGAATGTGCAGAGTTCAAGCCTAGAAGTCTGTTTAGGGAAAGGGAGAAAGTTTCCGTGTGTTCACCTTAAAGCTCCATTTAAGACAAGTACATACGAGCAGGATATGACATCACAACTAGTCTGAAAAAAAACAATCCTGGCCCAGTTTGCAGTTTACATAAGTGTGATGTGAAAAGCTAACCTTTGGGTGCACAAACACTGAGAATGGACTAATACGCAAAGATTTTCCCAACAGTTAAACTTTAGAGAGGGGAAATTCAAACTATTTGTCGACTGAACTTATTCAAACAAAACATGTCCAACAAAAATGTCAACCCAAAGAAGTATTTTTTGTCCTATTTTTATATATCAAAACATGAAGAAAACATGACAAAATCTGCCATGAAATCATGAAAACTAGAAATATTTCCATAATAATATTTGATCACTGGTATATGATGAGTTAAATTTGAGACATAATTGACTGTTATCGTTTTTCTATTCTACAATTTGCCCCCCTGGCTGTGAGAATTCAATGAATGTGGCCCCTTGCTGTGACCAAAGTTGCCCATCCCTGATGTAACTTTAACTTCAGAAAAAAATCTATTTTACTCTAGTAAAATTGACCGTTTTATATGTTAAGAGATCATATTTGAGCAATACCAGTTAGATGCCAATGAAAGAGGGAGTGTTTTGGACACAGAGATCTGCGCCACCAGGGAACATTGAGACAAACCAGTAGTAGACTGAATGTAATCAAGTTTTGGTTGCAGTCCCAAACAAAACATCATCATAATGTATCAAAGATATTTGAGTAATCTGGTTCGTACTTGGCTTCCAGCTCCGTCTTCTCTCGTACTGCCTGTGCCATCGTCTCGGCCTCCTGGTACTTCTTCCTGCTCTTGGTCAGCTCCTTCACCGAATCCTGCAGCTCGGCCTGAACCGCCATCAGCTGATCGATACACTGATGGTGTGTGTAAGAGACACACACACACACACACAGAAACACAGAAAAACAAGAGAGCGGTTTGCATTTATGAAAATATTATTGAATTAACCTCCTGAAATTTTTTTAAAAAAGCAATCCACCAAACCATATCAACAGAAATCATGAGGGAGGTTATTTATGTCATAATGATGCATACAAGAGGTTTGAAAACTGTGAAAGGTGAGTTCAAACAAGAGCACCATTATACAGTGCAGCAGCGTGTCCAGCAGAAACCAGAGAGGGGTTACTTTTCAGAAAGGTACACTCAGACTTCCTTATGATTAACTTTGAACGAGCACAGTGCCCCCAATCAGTAACTGAGAGTAGTAATTAATGATAAGAACAGCAGCTGTGACGTCTGCCCTCCTCTAGTCGATCGTTTATTACACCTTTTATCATTTATTACACGGGTTGTTTACTCTTGGTTCTTACTGGAAATTGTTTTGAAGAGACCAGAGGGGTAAGAACTTCTGCTACTTATACTGGTAACACATCAAACCCCTAATGGATTTAAGAATCTTGTTGCATTGCGTCCACGTTATGTTAAGGTTCTATAACAACCAAATAAAGATTTAATTATGGATACTTTCAAAACTAATAAATGGATAGTAAAATAATTAATCTCTTGTGGAAATGTCACATTTACAGCAGCAGCAGAACAACGTCAAAAAACTAGTAACATAATTATTTAAAAAGCTCACACCTTATTTTATCTGGGCAGTTTGTAGAGATACCTACATACATAATATCCCTCTACAATTTAACAAATGCATATTTCTCTTTTTTTTTTGGTATTTTTGCACAGCATGAAAGAGCAGCTCATTGAGGGTTGGGCACCGTGGGGGTATTCTGAAAAACCATTAGCTGCCACATGTACATATACAGTATGATGTGGCAGTCGGTCTCTGTGTTATTTGCTCAGCCCCCTCCCTCACATGTACAGTAAGTCAAAATTACATTACTAAAGCAAAGCACTTTAACTAGGGTTGAACATGTTTCAGTTGGCGATGACCAGAGAGAAAATGAAAAAACAAAAAGGTTCTCAGTGCAGAGAAGATATTCAGGACTTCCAACACACTGCTGACATTTGTGGCAGAGTGTCAATACAAGAAAACAAAGGAAGGATGGACAAAGGCACTTACTGTCAAGGCTTCAGTATTGAAGTGCCATTTGTCTCTTTGTTTAAGTAACTCCTGACGGTTTGAGTAAAGAAGAGATCTCTTAGTTTAATGCTTTAAACTAAGAAAAAGGAAAGGAGAGATCTCTTCGTTTAATTTTATATGGTTGCAAGTGACAAAAAATATGTTACTAAATTCTTGATTAAGAGAAAATTGTGGTGCTTTCACACAAAACTCCTGAAGTTCCTGAAGTGTTCAGGATGAGATGCATGCCTGAACGCAAACAGCCACATTTTTCACTCTGACTTTACCTGAAATGTTCCATACCAGCCCCCTAAAGAAACTGTTTAATGCAGCAGGAAATATTCAGGAAAATTCACCGTGAGCCAGGTGATGGTGACATACAGTATATATCCTGCGCACAGTACACGGCCATAGATCGTATTCATGGGACTGGTGCGATCTCCGTGCACGTCATGAAACTGCATTGTTATGTTTTCTGTTCACCATTTATGCTCCTCTCTGCTCTTCATTGTGACATTAAGGCATGTGTTGCCTTCAGGGGCAGTGTGCCTGAAATGTTCAGGAGTGCATATATGAAAATGGCTTTAATAACAAAGGTGGAGCTGTGCAAAGAAAGTTTGTGTCTGAAACCCGAGCAGAGGTGTCAAATAAATCTGCATTACCTTCCTCAGCTGCTGCTCCTTCTGAAGTCGGACCGTCTTAGCTGGATCAGCGACTTGGACTTTGTAGTTATCACAGGCGCTGATTCTGGACTGTGTGACCTGGATCGTACCCTCTAAATAATCCTTCCATACACAGTACATGTTCCTGGAGCAAACAAAGACAAAACACAGGAATCCATTCGAGCTGTCAATTCAATTCTTGTAAACAGATGAACCTGGGAAGTAGGCAGCAAGATGTGAAGTAAGGCTGCAACAAACGATGATTTTAATCACAGAGTCTCCCTCGGTATTTCTGTGATTTGTTGATGATTATTTTTTCTCTAAAAATGGTTTTGTCTGAAAAAATCATTCAAAACTAAAATCTAAATCAGTTTAATATCACTTCCTACAAAGGCAAGATAATTAACTTCATTAAAGGAGCAAGAAACGGAAAGAAATCTGCACTTTTTAGCATTAAAGATGACTAAAACGTCTTTATAATACAGAACATCTATATCTGAGCTCCTTCCTGCTTGGGGACTGAAGGCTGATAAACTGATTCAATGTTTTAAAACAACATCTGCCTTCAGACGAGCGCGTGAGTGTGTTAGCTAAAATAGACTTTTTAGTTTATTTTCCTGACACATAATAAGTTTGGAGAAAGGTGTTACCTCTGATCTGCTTGTTCATCTGTGGGACTGTCGGGCCACTCTCTCTTTAGATACTGGTTTGCCAGCTTCTGGAGGGCCTTGAAGAGAAGAAAGGGAGACACAAAAACAGGCATGACCTTCCACCTCTGACACCGACACACATTTTCTGCATCTCATCTTCACACAGGACATGCATGGAGGACGCTGCCCCTTTCTGACCTTGTCCCATAAACCACCGGGCAGCCAGAGCACGATGACAGAGGGATAGAAAGAGCAGAATCAGAACAAAACGACATCTTTTCTTCATTAGAGTTCAAAGATTTCCAGTTTAATTCATCATGTTCATCAGTTTTAGACGCAGGAACTGATATAAAGTCTTTTCTGATTGCAGGGAGTTTAAAATCAGCATTGCATGAACTTGTTCACCTCTTTTTTTTAAAGGTGAGCTCATTACTGGTTTTAATGCTGATGTAGGTTCAATTATAGCAGATAAATGTGAATATTTGGACCTCTTTCACTCCAGAGTCTATATCAGGTTCCTCTACCTTGACCGCAGTGAGGTTAACCTTTGAAGACCCAAAATATCAGGCCAGTAAACATTTTTATTTTTTTTAAACTGTAAGGATGATTTCTTGGGTGTTTCTGTATATGCATGTACTGTATGTCTGGTAGTCTCCTGAAGTCTAAAAGTAGTGCTGAGTCATCATTTTATCTTAAATAAGACACAGCCAAAACGACTCATAAAGCTACAGCAAATTCACTTCATTGACCGTTTCAGTTATGTTTTATGTAGAAAATGATTTTGTTTGGGTTCCAATGTTTACAATAAAAACTGTTAATTCAAAAGGTGGTTGGAGCAAAACAAATTGTCCCCACAGCTGTTGAGTGTCTACCAAATTAAAGAGAGCCATGAATGTAAAAACCAAAAGATAAGATATGAATCCTTGGCTTTAAGTTTAAAGGATGTGGATATTTCACCATGCAGTGTGGGTGTGATGAAAAGACAATATACTGTTGTTTTATTGGAGTTGTAACAGCCAACATTTATGGAGCTTCATTTGCACAAGGGACTCAAAGTCCAGACATCTCGCCTTCTTCTGCACCGACTTCAACCATTTATTTATTTGAGGTTAAACACTGTCACGTCAGTATAAGTATAAAAATGACTTCATAAAGTTGTTTGTCTTCACACTTAGTGGGATAATGTAATAGGAGGCGGGGCAGTGCACAGGTTATACAACAAGTAGGTAGCACATCTGAAGTCACTCAGTGGTTTACCACCTCGATGGTTTTAAACTGAGTAATCTGTTTCATGCATGTTTACAGGGTGAATGTTCTGCGTTGTGTTCTCATTCATCAGCTGTGGCTCAGCAAGTTAACAACGCTGAAGCGCTGAATAAGGATTCTGTTAAGAGTGCCACTTTAGCTTTATAAAACACATTTTTAAATACCAACTTAAAACTGTATTCTGCCTCCAGTCATAACAGACAGGTAGACTGTCAGGTATTGCCATGTATTTGTTCCCTCCGTACATAACCAGTGAGAAGACACATACCAGAGCTATTGTTAGAACAGAATAACTGTTAATCATAGCTCCCCAAAAATGTGTGACCTTGTTTCAACCACATGTCTTCATCAGGCTCATAGCCACCCTGACCCAGAGACCACAGCTCTCTTTGACACTATTTTGCTCGAGTCATGTTTATGTCATTACATGTACTGTAAACTCTCGGGCTGTTACTACAGTAGAAAATGTTTTTTTTTTTTATAAAACATCGATCTAAAGTAACACCCACAGGTTCCACAGCATTAGCCAAAATCACAAATGACCATGAAATCAAGTTTTACAAGTCAAGTCTGTTCTGAAACTGAGTTTTTGTGGAAAAACTTGTATAATGAAATTCTTTGCACAGTTTTTGTGCAAAAGAGCAGTGATGCAAAAGATTGGAGTACATGGATATATGCTACATTTAATTTAACAAGCTGGATTTTCATTTAATATACAGACAGCCACCACATTTCTCATCTTTTTCTAACTTTGTCTTGTGCTAAAAAAACAGATAAAATGCCCATTAATGAAATTAGCCCATCTATCCTGCCTCTGTCCACTTTGGTGACACAAGCTCTGAACTCGCTGGTCTTGGTGATCTTAGTGCCAAAGTTTCAGAGCGGCTACAAACCCGACCATTGTAGGCTCAGATAGAGAGAGGATCGCCAACTGAGCTAGCCGAGCGGACACGCCTGAATACTGCGATGGGAACAAGGGAAGGGGAGGAGGAGGAGGAGGGATGTGAGGACAGCCGAGGAAGAGCCGCACAGAGGAGGACATTTTATCACACTGTGTGATTTGACTAGTAATCAGCTGATGGCTGAAGCAGCTTGCAGGTGTAAGAGGTTAAGAGAAAAGGCGTGTAAAGAGAAGAGATTTTCTTTTTAAAGAAAAAGAAAAAGCAGCGGGTGTGACCAAAGGGAACCAAGTGTTCCATCCAGAGACACTCTGACCCACTTTGATTCAATCATTGGCAGCGGGTGTCTAATTGATCACACAACTCTCAGCCGGCCAGTACAATCAAGACACACAGATCACCCTTCAAACTAAAGAGGAAGAAGAAATATTTATCAAGTCGACTAATCAATGATTTAAACTCAACTTTTGATATCCAGGCATCAGCTTTGACAACAACTCCTATGGAGAACTCACAACATGTCATGAGACATACAAATTAGAAAGAGCTGTGCTGCAGCGCTCAGATCTGATGAAATCTGAATCTTAAAACACTGGTATAACTTGGGCATGCATATCCAATAAAACACACATGCAATGGGTTACAAAAGCTAGCCTGCAGTGCAGACTGACCTTGACTCTCCACTAAAAAAACACATGGCTTTATTTGAATACTCATTTTTGAATTCCCACTGCATTCATGTAGTATTTAAATAAATGCAAAAATAATGTGTCATGGGGTAATTCATGTTCCCCGTTCCTCAAAGTGTGCCAACATAACAAATACTTGCATACGATCTCAGTGTTTACTTCTTCAAGTTGATTTACAGACCAGCTGATAACTGCATTCCTGTTTCAGCTGACACTCGAGTGTTTTAAATGGACAATCTAGCCAATCAGAAATTCAAAAATCCCAAAACTCTCATTGCTGCACAGCTTCACGGATAGTAACAGTTACTTTCATGCTCTCTCTGTGGTTGCCTTGTGTGCAGAGTTCAGTGTAGTATTTGTACTCCTCTTTCCTTAATCTGAGACATCATACATTTTTTATGCAAGCTGACATGAATACACGCGAATATAAATTATGTACAAACAGGTGTCAGAGATTTTCAACCGCAGCGGTGTACACACATTCAACCTGTGAATGTGGAGTATAACTCTATCTCTAAACAAACTCCAAGGTGAACGTTTGATCCCAGGTCATACTGTAATGCATTTTCAGCAGAGCAAGCCAAGAAAGCAGAAATAGGAATTTAACCAGGGTTTCTTCAGGATTTTTCTTTTCAGGAAGTTAAGTTTAGTAAAGCAGGCTCAAATATGTCTAACCTCAGCCACCACTGAAACGACCCAACAAGTCTAACCTGGTTAAGACGAAATGCTTCAACATGACCGCTTATGGCGTTCAGACTGTCCTTTCAGATGTGATATTTACGCCCCTGTGATGTCCAGCATTCACTATGAATGTAACAAAGTGAGTCCAACTCTGCTCCGCCATCGGAGGTAATAACAGAGGCATTAAAGGGGGACAGGATCACCCCCCATTGGAAAAAGCCAACAGGGGGAGAGCACCACATTCTGTGTGTGTGTGTGTGTGTGTGTGTGTGTGTGTGTGTGTGCGCATGTCTAAGTGTGTGTATGTATGCAGAGCCCCAACTGTTTCTCTACATGTTATGCTTCTGCAGAAGCAATATGAATGTAAAAAGGCATAATGATGGCAGAGCTTTGTTGCGGTGCTGTTGCAGAATCGTATTCCAGAGAGTAAAAAAAAAAGGCCAGTAGGTCTGCCATGTTGGGAAACCTCCCCTGCTGTGATTTAGGGTGGCAGGATGTGATAAAAGCACCAAAGTCTTGGGTTCTTCAACAGATTTCTTAACGTATCCTGATTTTAATGTTCATAAAAAGGCTTAAAGGAACCATCTCGTCGACCAAATGTTGCGTCATAGGGGTGCTTAGGGTTTTGTATATGTTGCTAACACTTCAGCCTCTCCAGACTTTTGGAGTGGAACGGGCAGTTGTGCTTTGACATCTGAATAATCACAAAGATAACATGTACTATTCTGTGTACTTCTTGGGACACCGGTTTGGCTCGGTCATGTACAGAGGCCTCACTGCATAGGTCATGAGTTCGACCTAGCCCCTCTGCCCTTTTCTGCATGAAATCCCCAACTCCCTCTTCCCTGTATTTCCTGTCTCTATCATAACCAAAAGTTGAAATGTTCTCAGACTGGTGAGAGTAAAATCTGGTGTTGTGACCAGAGAAATCGGATAGTTTTCTGTTAAAAAAAACAAAGACTGAAACTCTGCATGACCCGAAGAGGGTGAGGAGGGAACAGAGAGAGATTCAGGAGCTTCAGTTGCTGGAAAAGTTATATTTTAAATTCTGGTTCACATAATTTATTTATCTAACATCCAATACGCACAAATTTAAGGTTAAAAACCAGAAGGGCAGAGCCTCAAGAAGATAAGAATAAATGTGAACAAATGGGTTGTGGTCATGGCTTGCCATCACTGCAGTTGGTTTGTCAACAGTATTGCAATATAGCAATTATCGGGACAGTCCTAGGCAACAGCCAAAAGACATTACTTCAGGCTTCATAACAGTAGTGCACTTCGGTCATGTCACAATGGTAATGTCCACTTCTTGTATACAGTCTTTGGTTTCTAAATCATGTAATAAACCACACACGACTCAGAATGGTCACATAATCTCCAGTTGGCCATGAAACAGATCCATCCTGGTACTATTTGTTTGCTTCATCTAACCACCTTCATGGAAACAGCCTTTAGGACCAGATGCATAAGAGCAAACAGACATTTAAAGACGCTAGTCAGATCTGCCGACATGCCCCCCTCTCTCTTCACAGTGGTGGTGGACATTCCTCACAGGGCTGCAAAACCTGAACAGAGCCAAAGAGGCAAAGACCGGATTTTTAGATGGACGATTGACATCTCCAGGAAGCTGCGGGGAAAAAAAACAACACGGCGAAGGAGGAAGCGAGCCGGAGAGGATAACCAGTGGAAGTTGTTTCTCTCTCAGTTGTGGTGTTTGTTTCTGCGGCTGCTTACCATTTATGAGCTTTCTGGCCACATGTGAACAAAGAGCTTTCTTAAGGCCACATCCTCAACCCCACTGTCATATGGTGACTTTGGAGGACAGTATCGTAAAAAACTGGGAGTATTTTTAGCAGCGCAAATGACAAGGGAGAGCAGCGATGGTGGTACCAAGCATCAGAAAGGGCTGTGAGAGGGTTAAGATTTACTTACCTGGGCGTAGTCTCGTTCTACAGCGGCCCTCTTTTGGCTAAAAGTCCTAAAAAGAAGATAAAGTGAATGTTACCATATTATTATTGGATTACAGATGAGACAATATATCCATAAAGAAAAGCAGTTCATTTATTATTCCAGTATTACACAGTTTGGTGATGTGGGGATTATCCAAAGGGCTTCATTTGATGTTCTTTATATATGGACTGTAAAGCATCACATGTAGTTTTGTATTACACTATTTTAATATAGGTTTGTTGTCTTGTATTTACGTGCAAGTTGAACAAATTGGACAATCCATGATGCAGTCGTTTATTTTTTAAATAAAGCAATCTCTGAACTGAAAATATCTTTGGTATGGTGAATGTTTTCTAAAGACTCAATATCAAACATTAAAATGCTTAAAGTGGTAACACTTCACTATAACAACACCAAGGTTATCTATCAAGATCACAGCGTTTGAACTATCTACTATTTATTTATTTGTAACTAAAAGCCTTCTGCAGCAGCGAACTACCCAATATATCATCTCCAAATCAAACCAGGTCCACATGTGCAAATGAAACACCAGAGAAAATACCATTTCAAAAGTGATAACACTCAAATTGGTTGACAGAAGCAGAATTAGGGTTGTAGAAAAATGAAGAATATTGTCGTTATTGTGTTGATTTATTACGGATTAACTGAGACTACCGAAGTAAAGTACTTCCTTCTGTTGCTTTGCTGCATGTTCATAATCTGAATCTGAATCATCTTTATATGCCAGGTATGTGTGGACATACTAGGAATGTGACTCAAATGTTGATGGGAATAGGAGATTTAAAAAAAGAAAAAAAAAATAGGAACAAAAACACGTCTTAAGTTTCAATTTGGTTAAAATGCTTGACGCCGGGTTTAAGAAATAGAGCTGTAAATCATAATATGGGCTGAGAACTGCAGTACATCTCGATGGATTTTGTTTTTATGGGTATTTTACAGTTTTCAAGGTTGATTTACAACAACAGGAACAAAACCAGCAATAACTCAAGTCGAATTTATACAAAAGTCTAAGAAAAGACGAGAGGTCAGCGCCCTGGGAAAAATGTGACTGCAGCGAAATCATCATTAAGTCATTAAACATGTCGAGACTTGACTGCCATGCTCCACCCTGCTCTAAACAATCTGGCTTACTTCCTGGGAGCTTCCCTCTCTTCCTCTTGCCTGCTCCCTTCCTCTTCACTGCTTTTCCAAGGCTCCCTCTCTTCCAATACCCCCCCCCGCCGCCCCGCCGCCCCGCCATTACTCACTTCCTGTCATTTTCCCAAACGGAGTGTTTGCTGACGAGCAGATGCAACTTCCAGTTTGCTGAATCATTTCTCGTTGGGCTCGGGGAGAGTGACCCCTCGCAAATTCAATACCCGTCGAGTTTTACATTGTTTCAAACAGCCTCCCACGGCGAGCGATTCAAAGCAGTCAGAACATCTGGCAGCTCTCTATGACCTTAACTTCCAGCTGTTTGAAAGGTTCAGAGCTCTGCCACCAACCACAGACAGGAAGTGGGGAGCCAGTAGGCTGTCAACTCAACCCAAAACTAAGACTGAAAACACAACCACAACCTTTAGCTTTTAAACCTTTAAAATGCTTCTAATCACAGTGCTAAAGCTCGCTGCCTGAATCAAAGACGAGTGTTTACCTGGCTGGAGGACTTTCACACGTCTGGATTTGGACTTAGTTGCACATAAATATTCTTTAAATGAAGGAAGACCCTGTTAAGAGACAGGATGCTTGAACCTGACCCTGAAAGAATATGCACTTATAAGATAATCAAAAGGTTCAGAGACAGACTTTAATCAGTGATGTGGGTAAAAACGTTCTACCCTGTAACCAACCATAACAAGGCATTTCAGAGCAGGAGCTGAAATTAGCATTTGCACCAAATACAGGGGTTGTTCAATGTCAGGACTACACATTCACAGCAGGGGATCTTCTTTTTAAAAGAAGAGAAGAGAACTAGTGCAACTCCAACTTCTACACAAAATGTTCCTGTTTTTTTTTTTTAGCTTGATGATGCTCGACTTGTCTTTTCCCACAGGACAATGTGAGATGATTGCTGGTTGTGAAAAAACACAATAAAAACTCTCTGGAGATATGCCACTCAGTCAGATACAATTGTTACCCTTTCAAACTCTTCAACGTGCAATGTCACTGCTAAAATAAGCTTTATTACCCGACCTGCTAAGAAGGTCGAGTATATACACAGTGTGAGACGAGCTGGTGAAGCATGAGCCAGAGATGACCTTGATGAGAGACCAAAAGAAAAGCTACAAGAGAGTAATGATTTACCAGATGAATGAATGAATTACATTAAGCTAAATAGTTCACGTGATGTGTTCACAGCTTGAGGTGTGATATTCCTATTTTGAGGAGGCATTCATTATTTTGGTTTCCTGTTGTGTGTGTTTCTAGACAAGGCACAAGACTTGCAACAACTGACAGTTGGCTTCCTTGTAGGGCTGGGAAATATATCGAGTTTTTAAGATATATCGATATATTTCCAAACAAGACATAGGGTAAGACAACATGGTTAATATGGATATAGTTTATGTTGCATTAAAATAACGTTACAGAGGTGCCAGGTCTCCTTTTTCTCATCTCACTGATGATGACTGACTGTCTGTCTCTCTTCACCCTGCTCCTCCCCTCTCTCTCTTTTATTGTATTTAAGGAACATTATTATTTTATAATATTACTTTTTAAATTCACAAACAGGTAGTTTATTTTTCCATGTGTTTTCACTGTTAATAAAATACATATCGAATATATATCGAGTATCGCCATTCAGCTAAACAATATCAAGATATGAGTTTTGGTCCCTACTTGCTTGTGCTGGCTAACACGGCAAAACTGGTAGCGGGAAATTTTGTTTTTCAGTGCTTATAAAAACTGAATATCAAGATAAATTGATTGGTGCTATGGGATGCACCGATTCAACATCTGTATCCAAGGAGCTTCAATAACATCTTATTCTTAATTCAGTGGGTGAACTTAGTTTAACTTTGGATGGCTGTGCAGTCTACATTTACTTTAGCCAGCTTCACTGCACATTGTATGTCCTGCTCTCGTGCTGTCTGACTGAACTTATGTAAATGCAGCATCACTTTCAGCCACGATGAGGTGCATTCAGTTCAGCTGAAGTCGAGATGATGCAATAATCAAGTTCAAATATCACAACTTTAATCCAAATGATTATGATTCTATTTTGTTTTGCATAATTGAGCAGCTTACTGACAAGCTATATAAATGCATGTTCAACAAGTCTTTAGGTTCATCATGAATACTTTCTGTCACCGAGCCTGTCTACAGTCTGACTCCTGACGGCTCACCTCAGGTCCTCCAGGAGGTCACATTCTGTCTGGTGTTTGATGTGTAATCTGCTCATCTGCTCTGCATGAGTGTGTTTCAGCTCCTGGGTGACCCGGACCTGTCAGGAGGGAAAAAACTGAATTATGAGAAAAAGAATCTGAAGATGAGTCACATCTCTTTTTTTCTTCAGCTCAAACAGAAACACAAAGAGGACTTTCCCAAGATAATTCCCATATGTATACCAAATGACTCAAAGGGCCACAGTGTTGATTCAGCTGAGCCTGCAATCAGTACAAGTGAAAATTGACTGCATCCATTAATCTTAATTAATTTCTTAATTTCCGTTAGATAAATGATTAAGAGCGGGGATCAGGTCTCATCCCTGGAACTGTTAGTGTTGCCTAAAGGAAAACATTTTATAATAATAATGTACACATCTGTAACTAGCTTCATAACAGACAAACCTTTAAATTCAGTTTAAAGACAAATGACCAGTAATTGTTTCAATCTAACTGCTCGAAAGTGATTTTATAAAATCATTTTATTAATCATCTGTGATAGTGAACTCAATATCTTTTAACTCAAAATGTGTCTGATGTATTTTTTTTTTTTTTTACTGTTTTCATAATTTTCTGACACTTGGTAGATAGGGCTGGGCGATATATCCAGTTTTTAAGATATATCGATATATTTTCAATCCGATATAGGGTAGGACAAAATCGTTAATATTGATATAGTTCATGTTGCATTAAAATAACATTATATACGTCTCTGCTGTAGAGCTGCTAGTTCACCTATTTCTCCTCTCTCTCTCTCTCTCTTTTTCTGAGCCAAACTCAAAAAACTAAATGGTTAACAAAACACACAACTGTGTTTATTTTGTTGTGCAGAAAATTAATTAACTTCACAAAGAGGTAGTTTGTTTTCATATACATGTTGTACTTAACTGACTGTTAAAAAAAGATGATATTGATATATATCGAGTATCGCCATTCAGTGAAAAAACATCGAGATATGAGTTTTGGTCCATGCCGTCCAGCCCTATTGGTAGATCAACAGTTAATTCAAAAAAGACTATCACCGGGCTTATTGAGGACAAACACATTTGTTAGTTGAAGTGCTTATCTACAGATTTTAAAGGAGAGGTAAGCAGGATGTAACATGCCTAACAGAAGATCAGACGTCTTAATGAGGCTTGGTCTACTTCACAGGTCCTCTGATGTTTAAAGTTCAGTTCATTTTGTGTTATTTTTAAAATCTTCAGTGGCGAAACATCCCCTTAACTTACACATAACTACGAGTCATAAGGTCTCCTGGGGCTTTGCACTGACCAGGTAGTACAGTGACCTAATCCCCTACCTGATAAGAGGAGGTGTTATTACCAACAGGGAAACAGAGCCAGATTGAAGGTTGATAATGCAACCTAAACGAATAGTGGATGTTGTGCTTTTCATGGCATGAAAATCCACAATATGTTCTGATTTTTAAAAGTTAAACCCCATGGGAGGACAGAACTTTAAACACATAGCTTTTCAATCAAGTAACAACAGATCAGGTGTAGTTATCGTATTATACATGTCACCAACGTTTGATAACTACTGATGCAATTTCACAACATGTAATGGTTGTTCTTCACCCTCAATGGAGGGCAAGGCAAAAGTTGTAAGACACAAAATCCACATTAACATGTATCTTTAAATCATGCCACATATAAACACCATGATAAAAGAGCTTCTATGTGTCTGATCTCACCGAGCAGCTCAAAGTACTACAGAGAAAAGAAATGCTGCTGAGCCATGTTTTTGAAATATGATCCCCCGTGAACATTTTTTCGCACCGAACCAAACTGTGCCAAGATTTCACTTCTTCATGTTTATTTCCACAAACTAAAACGCTTAAAACCTTCCTTAACAGCTTGCTATGCGGTCTAACTTCGAGCCATTTTTTGCATTTTTGCATTTTCGACTGTTTTTGTCTCTTTTTTGCCCCCCCCCCCCCCCTCCTCCCCCTGGACTTTCCCCTTGAAGGAGAAAAGTACACCAAAGAACATGCAAAAAATCTGACATTTTACTGCTCCAGGGCTGTAGGCAAACTTGCATGCAAGAAAATAGTTTCATTTCGCACTTTTGCAGGAAATTCGCTCCACTCTCAAATTCGGCATGGATAAATAAAACACTAGAATCACATTTTATTCGGATATTAACTTGCAAAAGTGTTTAATCTACGGATGGCAGTAGGACCAGAGGGAGTCACACTGATATTTACTTGATCCTAAGAGTGTCTTTCTGAATCACTTGTAACACACGCAATGTGTGCACTATTTCTTAAGCTGTGCCAATTAGTTTCGTCATAAAAACACTATTTAAAGTGACATTTTGGACGTCTGTGGTTTGACGGTGTCCCCGTTTGAGAGGGAAACGTTAACGGGGCTATTCTCCTTAAAAAAATTGCGGCACATGGGACCCTTTTTCCCCCCAAAGTTTTTCCTCCTTCGCCGCTATTTTAGAGAAACATCAAAGAAGTTCGAGGACACGAGCCGCACGCTCATCTGCAGAGTATAAAAAGTAGCAATTATGTGGTTTTTGTAAGCAGACGAAAGGCAACAAAGCGTGGCTACAACGGGGAAAACTCACCTTTCTCGGTGGGGGTTGCATCCTTATTTTTTGACATAAAAACTACACAGAAGAATAAATTTTTATCTGGAGAAAAAAAAAAACTTTTCCTACAAACAAGAAACAAGAAACGAGTGTTTTCAGCCTGGGTCAAGCGGCCATAGCGAGTCCAGTAAATGTGTAAGTTGAGTCCCGTTGAAAACACTGTGGCCCCGGGGAACAGAAAACACAACCGTCAAGTTATAAACTGTTACAGAGCACACTTCCGGTCCCGTTTTCAGAATAAAATCTACTTCCGCAGACGAATCATCAAAGTAAAAGCAGACGACCCAGACATTAGAAAGTCTCTTGTTTGTCACAATTAAAATATTTGATGTCCTTTTTTGAGTTCATGAAAACTTTTAGTTGCAATATCCTAATGTTGTCAAATAATTAAATAACATAAATAACAGTCTGTCCTTGACACAAAACTTCACCCCCAGAAAACACTACCCACATGACCTGCTTCATTATTATCATTACTAACATTGTGTTATTATTATTATTTAGTATCAATATATATACTGTACATTCTATATATTTATTATATTATTATATTAGTCTATATTATATAACATTTCATTATATTACACTATATTATATTATACTACATTATATTATATAACTGCACTCTGCATTACTGTGGTACAACACTGCCTCTCTTCTCTGCTGTTTACATTACTTGCTGCTATTTACCACACCAAGTCACTTTAATCATCACTTGTCACTTTATCTTGTCATTGTCTGTAAATACTGTCTCAATTCCCTGCATAGTTAACTTCATCATTCATTTTGTACCCCCTGTTTTTATTTTTATTTATCTTATCTATTCTGTTTAATGTGTATTTGAGATTACTTGTCTGTGCTGCTGCAACGCCCGAATTTCCCCTCTGAGGATCAATAAAGTATTATCCTATCCTATCTTAATTACATAAATAAATTACATAAATATTTACTAATGATGTCAAATTCTTACATCTTTTTAAATCTTTGGTGCTCTTGGTCTCAGCTCGTGTTGTTGGGTTCTTGTGTTGCCTGGGTTCTTATGTGTTTTTAAAAGGTGCTATATTAATAAAGTTATTATTATTATTATTATTATTATTATTATTATAAGTAGGACAAGTAATTCAAGGTACAATAAGATGTTAAAGATAAGACAAAATAAAATAAGATAACATAAATTAACTTAATATTGTTGCTTTTCTACCCTCTGTTTATTCACTCATGATGGCATATATCAAGGCCTTCAGTAAAATCAATTTTGAGACTGAAAATGTGATGTTTTACTCATTTTTGGCTAATTAGACCAGGCGTACTTCTACCACTTCCTTTACATTACAACTAATAAAAACTATTATAATTTAACCTTTATTTATGACATGTAAAAGTAAAAGAAAAACAATAAAACAAAAAAGTGCAATAACATAATGTAAAATATTTAAAAGTTACAGTCAGTGATTTTAGAGTTACAAAGGTAATTTTGATGATTATTCTTCTTTATTATTCTCATAGATTATTTAAATTTAGTTATGTGGAGATCAAATGTCCTCCAAGTTATCAACAGCTCATTCACTTGTTAGAATTAAAGTCTGACTAACTACGTGCATCTAAATAGTATACAGTAAAATGATCTCTAGCTAGATAATTCTGCATGATGTAAAGGGGAAAGGGGGAATTGAGATGTTCCCAGAATACATGTCAATTGGTGGTTGGAAGTAAAAAATATTAAAATGATAATCTAAACTGAGTGTGACATGTAAAGGAGGGAGGAGTGTGGATACAACTTTTTTATATAGTTTTCTGAATGTAAAATAGGTGATATATCAAGGTACATTTGATACTAATTATGACTGCGTTTGCAATAGGCTAATAACAGATCGATGTTTCTATGTGGGACTCATTTTCCTACAGTACCAAGTGTTAAGCTTCTTAATCTAAACCATCTTTGACAGGGCGCCCTCTAGTGGCGATGTCATTAACCACACATTTAAAACGAGTTGACGTGTGCCCTTCTCACAACATAAGCTTTTGTTTTTCTGAGTCTTGATTGTACATTATCAGTTCATAAACGTTTTTACTAACTCAATTAGGATTTACACCATTATGGATTCAGCAGCTTCTCTTTTCCAAAGATTTAGACAACAACTACAATTTAATAAAGTTATTATAGGTGGGCACAAACATCTCTACTGATACAGTACAATCAGTACAATCCCATTTTGTATTATTTTCTGCTTTATCAATAAACATTTGATTTAAACCTGTGCTTGCACGTGTCTGTACAAAACATCTCCTTTGTCAGTTCATCAAATCACTTTATTGACATACTGCCATGAAACTGTACAGAGCAGAACGAAGAAGGTACATTATTAATTCTCGAGGGGAAATTCAGTGTTTACAATCAGTTTTTTGTTCATGCTTCACACACATGGACATGCAACAATGAGAGAACACACAACTTCATATTCTCAACACGTATCATTTATACTATCAGAGTTATTTATCTGACATTCAAATTCTAATATGTTGTAAATGCAAACTGGAGATTTGTCAAACACTCGATCTTCACCTCCTTATCTTCTTAAAAACTGTTTTAACTTGAATCATTAAATACCTGATTGTTGCTTGTTGCCCTTTACACAAAGCCAAAAAACCTTGGTTCAAGTGTTGGCTGATAAGTCCACCCACATAACCACATTTCATTGTACATGTTCCTCTAATCATGCCCAGCTTCCTCCCACCCTGCCTGGTATTGTGTTGGCATCCTGGACTGGTTCAAAGACAGATCAAAGATTAACAACACTGAGGTACATGTGGCAGTTAAACTCCTACAGGGGTTAAAAGTAAAACTTTTACAGAAACACCGCTCTTAGAAAGTGGATGACTGTTCCTTTTTATGTGAGAATAACCCCCACAAGCCAATGCCTCTGCATCAACATCACCTGTCATTGTGCACAATTGCTCATTTGAATCATTTCTTGGTAGCAGTGAAATGGTTTGTTTTAATGCAACACATAGCTCACAGATATTTTATGTTAATGATCCATCAAGAGACATTCTAGATCTTCACTGAATGCAAAACATCCAACTTTTATTGTGGATTTCTGCAATAAGATGTGTGCAACTGAAGTGGATATCATATTTGAACGCTTATCAGAGGAGCAGGCCATGGGAAAGAATGAAAACTATGTTGGCTGTGAGTGCTGTGTGAAATATTACAAGTGGAGGACATTAACAAATGGTAAAAGAATGTGAGCAGAACGACGAACCAGTTGTAAATGTTTTTGAACATGTGTGACTTTATCTTTAAATATCAAATCATCATCTTTCAGGTTACTTAAAAACTAATTTGCCGCTTTAATCTAATACGTTTTTACCTCATAAACACATCAAAACACTTACTAAGCTGCAGTGAACCTGAAGAATAAATGTAAGAAAACGTTAATACTGGCTGGACTTATTGAAACGTATTCAATTATTTTTATTATTATTATTATTTTGTTAAATGTTAATAACATGGAGTGAAACAGTTGTACTCCAAAGGGAAGTTTTCCCACTTCTGATTGGCTCTCTGCAGTCACGTCAGAGGCCACAGCCTCCATTCTTAACTTTTGTCAATTCTACAGGAATCTAATACGGTTTCCTGACAGCTTTTCAAAATAAAATACTTTTCCCCTTCATATTATGTGATTTTTTTTAACCCCTTCTTAGACATAGATTATACACTATAAGTGGGACAGCCTGACTTGTGTGATACAATTTTTGGACCGCTGGTGTCAGATATCAGCATATTAATACAAAAAAAGAAAAACATCTTAAGAGATTTAGCTACCTACTTATTTGACTCACCGTGTTACTGCTTCATGACTCCTCAAGGTGGCGCTTGTGACGTGGTAAAAGGACTTGAGCTTGTAGCACTTCTGCAGGAGGGGATCAAACCCCTGACCTTCCCGTTGAGAGACGACCGACTCTACCAACTGAGCCACAGCTCACATAAATGAGGGTAAGGTTATCAGAGGTCAATTCGTCAAAGATGAAGTTTGATGGGAAGAAGAATACATCAGGATAACATAACAAGCAGCAGCCACTGGTGTTGAAAGATGAATCCAATGCAGAAATATTTGTTATAGCTATATTAGTGAATGTAGTTCTGTATGAACAAGCATACCTCTGAACTTACCTAAATAAATACAGTCACTTGTAAAAAAATGAATCAATGAAGAAATTGGTCAAGAAACACCAACAATAAAATTTTTAAAAAAGTGTTTCCGTCATTTTACAAGTTTCTTCTTCCTCCTGTCCTGGTTTTTGCTATATATTTCTTTTACTGAACATTTTTTGATTTTAAAATGTGGTTTGGACATAACAAGACGTTCCAAGGTCTCTTCAAGAGTTTTGTGAAATAAGAACAGTTTCTTCATATATTTTGATAGTTCATGTTTTAATTAGTTACTATGTTTAATTTAAGATGAAGTTGCAGATAATATAATGTATAACATAACATAATATAATGTTGATTTACAGTCTTAAAAAAAACAATCACTTCTTCATACCTGTTCAATCTGCAGAGTGATGATAGCATAGAGGTCCTAACACGGTCAAAAAGAAGAGATCACATCACCCCAGTTCTTGCCTCCTTACACTGGCTGCCAGTCAAGCTCAGGATTGATTTTAAAATACTTCTGACTGTGTTTAAGGCATTAAATGGACCCGCCTACCTCTCAGAACCCCTGTCCCCATATAAACCGGTGAGAGATCTGAGGTCATCAGCACAAAACCTTCTGTCACCGCCTACAGGTCCAGGACATGGTGCAATGGGGATCGGGCCTTTTCTATTGACAATCTTTGACAAAAAGCCATTTTCGTTTCACCATTGCACTGTTTTAGATAAACATAACTGACTACATTTTCATAATTTTGTTCATTTCATAAAAATGCATGTTTTATATATAAAACTTTGCACGGACTTGCTCCTCCTCCTTTGAAGGACTTTATAAAGCTGAAGTCTGCCAGTGGGATCGGCACCAGGTGCCACAGCCTGAGGACACTGTGAGGTCCCACACAGACGCACTACATTCAGACTGTTCTGTCAGTCAAAGGAACTAAATATTCACAATAAGAGACTCACAAACATATGCAACCTTCAAAACACACCTCAAACAAGTCTGTGACCACCTTTAACCTTTAACCTCTATTATTGTCTTGTGTCACTTGTGGATTTGTATTTGTATTTCATTTGTAATTTGTCTTTCTCTGTTCCCTGCCTGTAGGGACAACAGATGGAAACGAGCACTTCTGTTATAATCTGGTATTTTTACAGCTGTTCATTAATATGCACTGTCCCTAACAAATAAATAAATACAATATTGCAGGACCAAAACTATGGAACTCTTTTCCCCCAGACATCCGTCTCTCTCCCACTATTGGTGTTTTTAAAACTCGCCTTAAAACAGATTTGTTACTCAATTGCTTTTAATGTTCAGTATCGCTCTCTTACGTCACACTGAAATTAACTGTCACTCATTCTTTTCTTTTTTTATTGTTGTTCTTGTCTGTTACTTTCTAATGCTTTGTTTCTGCAACGTTCAGCACTCTGGATCAACAATGTTGTGTTTAAAGTGCTATATAAATAAAGTAGAGTTGAGTTGAGGGCCGCTTGAGCTTTTATTTTGAAGGAAAACACCTTCCCACCTCTGCTTCCGGTTTAGCATTGGCTCGCTTTGGTCTGTTTGACTCAGGTTTCAGATGACCTGAACATGTGTAAAGATAAGACATGAGAGTTTTAGCACAGCTGCTGTTTTTGTTTTTGTTTTGTTCTTAGACTTTCTCTGTTTACTTTGTTAGCTTGTTAGCTCTTAGCAATGTCAACGTGGCGCAGGCTGCAGGTGAAGGTGTGCACGGCTCACGGATTACTTACCTCCAGACGGGTGACAGAGAGGCACACATGGCTGTCCGGACGTTTACCCCCATGTCAAAGCTTAAGTACAGGCACACCTCTCCGAAATGACTTCTTCAAAGGTAGGGGGGAATCACAGGAAGTGCCTGAATGCAAGAACATACGCTAACAGCAAAAACCCCTTAAGAAATCCGCACATTTTGCAATGATTTGTCAATAAATCAGTGTATGACAGTTCTCTGTCACAACTGAAACACTCTGATGAACTGTAAAACGCCCTTCTACAATTCGGCTGTCATATAACTGTCCAAATAAATGTTTAAATCAAATTTTTAAAGTCATTCCTGCTCTGTTACATTATGTTTTGGTTGTAGATTTTAAAGCAGCCCAACTACATGAACGTCAATATTGTGGGATATAAACAGTAATTGTATGTGCCGAATTGTAAAGTAGCAGTTTATGTTTCGAAAAAAACATCTGGATTTGTAAGGTGCATGTTAAAATCTGCAATTTGATGATGGTTGAGTTAAAAGTGTGCTTTTTTTGTATCAGACCTGGAGGCGCAGCTGGCGGCCATGAGGAGGAAGGCTGCGGACGCTCTGCCGGGGAGCTCCTGGAGTCCCTTCGAGGTGAACCCGAACCTGCCGCCGGAGAGGGCCGACATTGTGATCGTGGGGGGCGGCGTGATGGGCTGGTCCATCGCCTATTGGCTGAAGCAGAAGGAGTTCAGCCGAGGAGCAGTGAGGATAGTTGTGGTGGAGAAGGACCCAACGGTGAGGAAAAACACAATTGGTGCATTTCAATTGTGAGTCATTTAAAAGGGATCATGTAGAAAATGACTTCAGTCATATACCATCCTGTAGTCCCCCTGTTTGTTTCCCATTCGGCCTGCATGATATGCTAAGTTAGAAAGCCTTGCTTGTGCGATGGATTCAGACTTTTTCTTGACACATCATGCCACCAAAATGAGTTCAAATCAAATCAGCTAAAATAATCAGCAAAAAAAACTCATATTCAAAATAACTCCGTGCTGCCTTCTTCTTATGTTGTGTTTTTCCTCCTTCAGTACTCGAAGGCGTCCACCGTCTTGTCTGCTGGCGGGATCCGACAGCAGTTCTCTCTACCCGAGAACATCCACATGTCGCTGGCGTCCGCAGACTTCATGAGAAACATCAACGTGAGTCACCACCGCCTGAAAAACAACAAAAAGATAAATAATCAACTCACACAGATGTCACAAACTGAACCAGAAGAGTCCCTCTGCACCTTTAAGAAAAAGCTAAAGACCCAGCTCTTTCATGAATACCTACTAACTTAATGATGATGGTCTCCATATTATTGATGATGATGATGGTAATGACGATGGTTTTTGTTTGATAACGACGACTTATAAGATGGTTTCTATTCTGATTAGAGCTCTCAAGAACTGCCCTCAATGTTGTGCTTTGCCTCTGGTCACTTCCTGTCAGCACCTGTGTGTCCAATCAGACTCAAAGCTGATCGTTTGCTCTTACTGACATTGTTCCCTTTTTTCTAGATCCTTGCTTGTGTTGTTCTTACTCTCTGATGTACGTCGCTTTGGATAAAAGCGTCTGCTCAGTGAATTGTAGAATTGTAGCCTGGTAGATGTCAGTGATGGATGTGAGAGTGGTATTTGAACGCAGCATAACGAGGCTCTGTTACCTCTGTGTTCCACTTTGTCGCCATAGAAACCATTACGTGTGTTTTCCTCCTCTCCGCGTCCCCTCAGGAACACCTCGGCGTGTTGAATGAAGACCCCGTCGACCTGCAGTTCAACCACTCAGGATACCTCTTCCTGGCCAATGAGGAGGTGGCTCACATCATGGAGGAGAACTACAGCACCCAAAGGTGTCGGCTCAGAGAAAACGTGTGAAAATTAGAAAAACTAGACCCCTCCTGTAGACGATGTAATAAATCATCTTTTGTGTGATTTCAGGTACGCAGGAGCCAAAGTGACTCTCCTCTCTCCGACACAGCTGAAGGAGAAATTCCCCTGGGTCAACACGGACGGTGTGGCGCTCGCTTCATATGGTGGGTAATAAAACACAAGTTCACCTTATTCATTCTGTACTTATCAGACATCAGAAGCGCTTTGATAGAGGTTTTAAGAGAGGGGTCACAGAGACGGTTTCAGTGGAGCCGGCAGGGGGAGTGCAGCGCCGTGTGTGTGTGTGCAGCGCTGTGTGTGTGCAGCGCTGTGTGTGTGTGTGCATGTCTGACTGTGTGTGGTATCCCTTTCCAACCCCGGCGCAGTCTAGACCTGTGAAGGCTGTTTCATCATGAGCCGGGGATCCGGCCGAAGATTTCTGCCTTTTAATAAGACCGTTTTTTCTTACCACTGTAACTTTTGCTGCTTTGCTAAAGTGCTCATGATGGATAGGCCGGATCTTTGTAACATAACAATAAGTAAGGTATTTTACCTGCTCTTGAGATATAACTTGTTATGAGTTGACGCTATACAAATAATATAAAATTGAATTGAATTGAATTGTGTGTGGAGCTCCAGCTGTGCCGAGCTTCACAGACTCTTTATGAATGTACAAAGACGTCATGACGGCTGAGCTGAGATAGGGTTAACTTTTAAAACCGAGTTACTTCCAATCAAGCAATTAAAAAAATACTGACGTCAATTAATCAGACGATATTTAAGAAATGCATTCAACTGTAACAGATTTATTACAAGTGAACAAACTGAACAAGGAATTATTATTTAACTCGACATAAAGAAGACGATCAAAAGATTCTCATTAGGGGGGCGTCTGTAGCCCAGTGGTTAGTTTGTGTGCCTCATGTACGGAGCCTAAAGTGTCCTCCAAGTGAGCGGCCTCGGTTCAAATCCGACCTGTGGCTCCTTTTCCCGCACGTCATTCCCCTCTCTCTCTCTCTCTCTCTGTCTCTCTCTCTCTCTGTCTCTCTCTCTCTCTCTGTCTCTGTCTCTCTCTCTCTCTCTCTCTCTCTCTCTCTCCCTCTCTATCTCTCTCTCCTCTCTCTCTCTCCCTCCCTCTGTCTCTCTCTCTCTCCCTCTCTCTCTCCCTCTCTCTCTCTTTCTCTCTCTCTCTCTCTCTCTCTCTCCCTCTCTCTCTCCCTCTCTCTCCCTATCTCTTTCTCTCTCTCTCTCTCCCTCTCTCTCCCTCTCTCTCTCTCTCTCCTCTCTCTCTATCTCTCTCTCTCTCTCTTTCCCTCTCTCCCTCTCTCTCTCTCCCTCTCTCTCTCTCTCTGTCTCTCTCTCTCTCTCTCTCTTTCTCTCTCTCTCTCTCCCCCCTCTCTTTTTTTAGTCTTTTTAGAGGACTTCATGTTTTATCTCAGTTGATGTTGGATTATGTTGTGAGGTGAACAAATTAAGGTAATGGTATCTCACCCCTCTCTCTCCCCCCCCCCCATCCTGACCTCACAGGGCTGGAGAACGAGGGCTCGTTTGACCCGTGGACTCTGCTGAACGCCTTCAGAAGAAAAGCCATCTCTATGGGAGTCATTCAGTGCTGTGGAGAAGTTACAGGTTAGACATGTTGAGAAAGAAAACATCCTGATGTTACTCATTGAGCTCTGAGCTTTGTTAAATATTACTTTGTTCACTGATATGTCGCAGAGGACCGGGGCGCTGAAGAACATCGTATTTCGGCTCCTCACTAACACCTCTGTTTTCCTTCTTTTTTTTACCATCTATGAGACCTCTGGGTCAGAGTGGAAGTTAAAGCATTTTAATAATAAGACATTTGATCAAATGTATAAAAGTGAGTTAAAAATCTGTTACTTTTAATCATTTAACGACTTTCTTTTCAGCCAAGCAACGGCATCAGTTTGAAGGTTAAACGTGTCGAAGCTTTGGCAGCTCTGAAGTTGAATTTATTTGCTTTGAAAGCTTTAAGAGGATAAATAACAGATTCAAGGAGACGTATAAAAGTCTATGACATGTTGTCTTCATCGCTGGACGAACTTTGAATCTGGTCACCGTGCAGTGTTTGCAGAATCCTCTTTATTATCTGCAGTGTTTGGACTTTCTTCAGGCTTGTTTTTAATATTTTCATTTCGTCCACAGGTTTGAAATATATGTCATCCATCGTGACGACCGCCGATGACGAACGTCTGGAGCTCCGGAGAATCAAATCTGTCAGAGTAAGTCGGAGCGCAGTGAACGGAATAAGTTCAGTTCATGTAAGAACTTAAATGAATGAATCCAAAGTCGCAGTTTACAAATCCGGACTAACTATCAAAACTATTAAAAATCATCCTGAGGGGTCGACCTGTCTCCCTGAAAGCTTTTCAAAAAAGGTGTTCTAAACTGTGTGTTCAGCGTCTATGTGTTGTTGATGACGGGGGGGGGGGGTCATGTGTTGTGTCGAGCAGGTGCACATGCCTAACAGCATGGAGTACCAGCCCGTGGAGTGTGCCATTGTGGTGAATGCAGCGGGAGCCTTTTCTGGGAAACTGGCAGAGATGGTGGGAATGGGCTCCGGCCCTAAAGACAGCATCGCTGAAATCCCTCTGCCCGTCGAGCCTCGCAAAAGGCAAGCAAAAACACACACACACACACACACACACACACACACACACACACACACACACACACACACACACACACACACACACACACACACACAGCTACTGTCAAAACGTCCAGTTGGCGTTATCTCCACAGTGAAGCTCATTATTATTCTGACAGTTTAATTCTGACTTTGTAGCCGGTTAATAAACAAACTGACCATCATTCCCGTTTTGACTGACGGCTTTAATTAAGGATGTTTACAGAAAGTGTTAAATGGTTTCACTTGTAGTTCTTGGTTATTTGTGTGAATCACAGTGTGCATCTTTATTTATACTTATTAATACTTATAAACTGGGTTTAATGAGGATTCTTCTTTTACAGTTTCTACTTTGATATTTCTGTGCACAAGGACAAACAAGTGCTGCGAAAGCCAAAAGCCTCAATCAAAGAGATTCATGTTAAAAAACAAACAAACGAGAGGATGCCGTATGCAAAAGTTCATCGCTAAAAATTTGAAAAATGACCTCGATGTTTTGATGTTTAAAAAGCTTGGCAAACTGTAGAGTAGACTCTAGAGAGGAGGGGGGAGACAGCTCTCTACAATGTTTTGAATTTGGACTGCAGTACCCATTTTAAACACTAGGGGTCAGAGCTACATGAACCTTTCTGTGTTCTAACCTCTCTCCAGTTTTCAAAAGCATCTCCAATATTGATCCTAGTTTGAGCACGTTTCTGCTCGTGGAGCTTATTAGAAACATGCAGAGGCTTTTTAGGTCGGGTACAATCACTTCTATCTGAACCACTTCTCTTGCCCGCTTCCATTGTTGCAACACCTGTTGACCTGATAACTGCTCTCATATCTGACAAACCGAGGGGCGTCCAAAACGGCCGTGTGGAAGGGGGGGTCGCCCTAAAAGCGCCTACCTTCTCTGGTCCAAACAAATCCAGAGCATTCAGGAGCAGAATCTAAAGTTAGAAGGAGGACATACTGGCTGCTGCATTGTTGTCAGAGAAGCCAGCACTTCAACATAGCATGTTTCCCTAATGTCTGATCAGATAGTGAGATACCTTTATCATCTCAGTCAGTAGATATCTTACAGACTGCTCCTTTAAGTTTAAATAAAACTTCAAATCAGTTGTACCAAAGTTAGAAGAATTCATTGATTTTCTTTGTGACACTTTGAACCACTTTTCTGTCCCTTAAATGAAACCTTCCTGTCTGTTTAAAACACTCTGAAGTTTGATTAGTTTGCATGCTTTTAAGAGTTGCATCAGTCTGCATCAGTGCATCATCAGAGTAAAGTGTTTGTGGCTCTCTGCAGGTTTGTGTACGTGGTCCACTGTCCTGACGGTCCGGGTCTCGACACACCTTTCCTGGTCGACTACTCTGGAGTTTACTTCAGGAGAGAGGGCTTAGGAGGGAACTACATCGCCGGGGCTTCACCGGAGGAGGTTTGTGTGTCTTCAAAAGTGTTTCACAATTTCCTTTTATTGAATTAGAGAGCGTTTAAAAGGAAGTGTGTCGGGGGTCTCTCTTAAACAACCCACAAATGGATTAAAAACACAGGCGTACTGAGGCGTTATTTATTCAAGCTGCCCTCCTAAGGTGCAAAACAAAACAAAGACTGCCAAAAAAACGAACAAAAGCACTTCTGAAGTCGTCCCAGCAGCTGTTACTTTCTCTTTAAACAAAACCAGACTGACAAGGCAGCCATCTTTTTTTTATCAGAAGCCCCTCCCACTGGGATTTATGAATTAAATAACTTTTTAACAAAACATATGTTCTTATGAATCAAAGGATTTTCACCACATCTTGAAATATTTTAATTAAACCACAACAGCTTATTTGTGGAGAGGAGATGAGATGGCAGCACTAGCAGAGAGGGTGTGTGTCGGGTGTGTGGGCATTTGTGTGTGTCGGTGTGTGTGGGCATTTGTGTGTGTCGGTGTGTGTGGGCATTTGTGTGTGTCGGTGTGTCGGTGTGTGTGGGCATTTGTGTGTGTCGGTGTGTGGGCATTTGTGTGTGTCGGTGTGTGTGGGCATTTGTGTGTGT